ACCCATAATGCGCAAACACGCCCGTAGGTGATCACTGTGCTGATGATGATGATGCACAGTGCACATAGGCGAACCTTGTGCGGCTTCGCGCTGCAAAACAAAAAAAAACAATAATAATAAAGAAGAAACGTCTTTGCTCGTTTTAGAAAAAGAAACAGGAGTTGTATTCGAGCAAATCTCAAAACGATAATTTTTTTTATCTATATAAGAAAAGCATATCTTGTAATTGTATAACTAACATTGCGCTTTGCTCTTTCTGTTACAGGTGAGTTTCGAAAAAACGATGACGCCGCAACGAGCACTTTTTGTGTGGGTATACAGCATTGCACGAACGCACGCCGACAAATATTCATCTTTCGTAAATAAATCCGCTTTTTTTGATTTTCGCTCTAATCGCAATCCAATCTGTGAATAGCATCGCAAAGCTGGCGCATAGTGACTTATTTCCTGTCAACTAACAATGTTGGTCTATTTTTTTGTTCAAATCGTTCCTTTTTTTACTGCCGTTTTCACACCTATTCGCGGAAAACAATCATCGGAAGTACGGGCGGGCACTTTCGAAAGTTTTGAAGAAAAAAAATCTGAATTGTTCAACTTTCGATCGTTCGACGCAGCTTTTTATACTTCATTTTTAGTCGTGATTCGATGAACGTCGCTCGACTTGGAAAAAAAAATATCCATGGACTTTCTTTCGCTATCAAACGCATCGTGTTAATTCATTGCTCAACGACGAAGTATAGCCTAACTACGAATGCCAAAAAAATCCATTGTTAATGCGCTTCGCTCGAGATTGATGTTAATGAGAGCGGGGCGGCGGCGGTGGGCGCGTGACTCTATTCGTACAATATCCGATACCACTCTCGCAATCATTCGAAATAATTAGTCGTTAATTTTCGCGCTTACATAGGCTGCGAGCGCGCAAATCACGCGCTACCGAGTTATCGACAGCAATAATACGAGCGGCATGTATACGTATTTTTTTTTCTTTTTGCATCAACGAGAAAAACAATAGTAACAAGAGTAACGAATCATGCTCGCGCGCTAGACTTTTATCGCGATTGGACTCGCGCGCCCACTTGCTGCAGACCGTAATAATACGTAACGCAGGGAAATTTTTGCTCAATCGGATAAATTAAAAAAGATGATACAATTTTGCGCTGGGATTTCCGTTGAAAAACGCTTGACCCGCACTTTGAGCTTATATGCGCACGTGTCCCAAAAACAATCATGGAAAGAATTAAAAAATTCCACTCAAATTTTTCGTCGTACTCCGGATCACTTGCTCGTCCTCCATATCGAACTGAAAAATTTATTTTTTCATTTTTTAATTAAATTTCATTGCTGCATAGCCGTGATCGATATCGGAGTCATGCATCGGGGAGCTTCTGCGCTACGTTCTCTCTTATCACTACTCGGTTTAATTCGTGGTACAGCAATTCAATTCAATTTTATCTATCCTCGCGCGCGCATAAATTAAATTATTTCGACCGCGGCGCGATAAAGCTCCTCCGAGAGAATACATTTGAATAATTTTTTTACGCTTTTTCTCAAAAAGAGCATCGAGCACATCTCCGTAATCTCGCAATTGTATTCGCGCGCACGCGCTCGTTTGTTACGAAAAAAAAGAACGATCCGTTTGAAATTTTTGCAACGGAAACGCGAGTAATTGTTTTCTTCTTTTTTTTTTCATTCACGTATTATACTTTCCGGCTACGCGATGCACCAGATCGATTCGATAGCATTGACGTGAAACGTATACTACGCCGCGGCGCACGACGCATCGCCCAGCGATGTGACACACGCAAGAGAGAGAAAAAGAGAGAGACACGACGACGATGCGAGGCAGCCCTCGTGCACAAATGTGACGTGCACACGTACCTATTATACGGGTCAATTTCGGTCTTGGCGCACGCGGCTTTCCGTTACAGCGTATTGATATATATACGTTCCATGGCGTATTATTATTATTATTATTATTATTATATGTATTATTCGTGCGCGTGTGTTTGCCGGTAAAAAGAGCAAAGTCCAAGTAGTAATACAACAGGTATTCGCGCGCAGACACTCGACGAGCTAACGAGTCTCTCGAGCGATCGATCGTTTTAGCCTAGAAACGATGCGCTGCCGCGGCGACACCCCCTGCGCTCAACCCCCTGCCCGGCTCTGTCGATTCTCTCTACGTGGCGTAGGGTAGAAAAAAAAATGCAACGGAGAAAAAGATCGACGCCGTGGCGCATCGTCTATGAAAGTACCTTAAGAATCGCGCGAGCGCATAGCAGCAGCTTGCGTTTCACATTATTTTCACGTCGTTGGCATGCGCTTTCCCACGATCCGAATTAGATCTCTAACCTCGAGGGTGGATGTGTTGTACGCGCCGCGCAACCGAGTAAATATGTGTGTGTGTGTGTGTGTATGAAATGCACCAGGTCGTGAGAATGCCATAACCATTCGTACATGTATACACACATACGAGATAATATGTATTATACTTATCGCGCCATACGTCGTGTGTGTGTGTGTGTATATGTGTGTGTTATACACGTGTCGTGTGGAGATCACCGGCGTGGAGATCGACGAACGGCGGGACCCTATATGGCACAGAACGCCATGCATACGAATGTAGGTTTGATTGCGCCGGGCGAAATTCTCAATGGCACACGTCGTGTATGGGTATAACGGGATCGTGCACCGACGCTTCGACAACGTATAGCGTATTATAGGAGAGCTCTGCCCGCGAAGAAAGTGAAATTTTCAATTGAACCTTTCGCTATGTGTGTACTTTCCTGCTCTTTCCTCTTTATCCAGGCAATCGAGAGAGGAGAGGGATGCTGCTGCTGCTGCTGCGAGCTCGCTTGGGTAATGATTCAAAATGACTCACCCTGCAGTACGTGAATCGTATATATATACTTACCCGATTTGTTACATATGATTTTTGTGAAATCAATGCGCGCGCTACGAGCAATTATACCGTTTCTCGGTTTACCGTTTTCCATTATTCATCGACTACGTTGACAATTTTTTTCTTCCTTGCACCCTCAAAAACCAAACAACGAAACAAGCAAAATTACGTGACTGGGTTGACCAGCGAATGCGCGTTTACCTAATTATTTTCTCTCTCTCTCTCTGTATCTCTCGTGATTCTGTATATCGCAGAGAAATCGTTAGTTTTTTTTTATTCGTTCCACGAGACAATGTCGTCGAGTTAGGAGTATCATTATATATGAGAAACGTGTAATTATATACGCGACGATGTACCGGGAATTACGCTAGAGCGTGAGTATCAAATACAAAACGTGTCTGCTGCGGATACGTAATAGTTTTGCACCGAGCATTGAAAAAAAAAATAATCGCCGTTCGAAAGAGCCCAATAAAACTTGTCTATTGACTTACATTATATTCTTCGTTCGTAACGAAAACGAATTCGCGACGAGTTCGGGTACTTCTAGTTTTATCATATTTCGAAAGCACCTCGATCGATTGTTTATTCATAACTCTTGGATTCGATGTGGCAGAAAATGAGAGATTATTTAAATAAATAGAATTCGATCATCGTGTGCGAAAAATCAGACGCGCAAGAATACGCCTCTATTTATTTTCTCCGGCGACCTTCGAGCTGCGAATTCAAATAGTAAATCCTGAGCTCGCCGCTACTTTTTGTTATCTGGACAGTGCATGAACACGAGTGCACGAGCACCCACACGCACACACGCGCGCGTATATGAGTTTACTCGGACTCGACTCGTGAGAGGCACTCACCGTATAGCTGCGTATGTGTGCATGCGCCTGTAAAATCCTATATACTCGCGTGACTGTGCTTACTTACCCGTGATGTACAACATTACTCATACGGAATTGGTTTACCTATATAGGTATAACGCGCGGAGCAGCGAGCCAAGTCCGAGGAATATCGATCCTTGAGCCAAGTGTCGGCGGTGTGTGCGGCTTTAAATTTTCGATATTTTCCATTGCAGAGTACCAGCTCCTTCGAGAACGTATAAGCATCGTTTTAAATTTAGTCCGCGCGCGAGCTCTTGCATTACGAAAGTTGCTCGCATTTGACGAGTTTTAATTAAAAAAAGAGCACAAAAAGTATAAACTGCTAAATGATAATTTTGGGAACGCGGCGCAAGCTCGCGCGATGCCGGTTGTCAAAAGTAATTCGAGCGCGTCGAGCGCATGCATACGTGTGTGTATGCTGTGTGCATACGTATAATATGAAGCGAAAGAGGCCAGAGCTCTGCTGGCCTCTCTTGAAAATTCCATAAATCTGCGCACGGCGCAGCAGAGAAATTGCGGCCGCTATCTCTTGTTCATCTTTCTGGCTAAAGTCTGTGTGTGCTCTCTTTCCCATATGCTCGAAAAAATAGCAGTAGCAGCAGCAACAATAATAACAACGGCGCGCAGCAACAGCTCGACGCGAGCTAACCGGATGCGCGCAAGCAGCAACAATTGCATTTCTATAAAATATTTGCCTGCACTTTTAGAAGGAATAGTACAGTATATATACGCGAGACCGACTAAACCAATAAACTTCAGCTAGCTTGCCTCGATTTCGTTTTCACGAAAATCCAATCAGTTTTATCAAAGAAACAAATTTTGCTTTTCGCACATTTTTTGCTTCGTTTGAGTTTCGACGCGACTCGGTTCAATTGATTTTCGAGCCTCTTTTTGCGACGAATAAAATTTAACTTTATGAGACTAGTTCGAAAATTCAATTCTAAAAAAAATAAAAAAAAATGTTTAACTCATGAACCTTGTTATTTCAACATTTATTACTAACATTTATCGCTCAAATGAGTACATTTAATAAAATAACATTTTTCAACCCTTATCTCCTCGATCTTGCAACTAATCTTATCTTGGCGCATTGGCTCATTTATTTCTCGCATTGTATCGATGTTTATACAAAAAACGCCGATTATAGAAAAATTGTATTATTATATAAACGCCCTACAATAATCGCTATTACGACGCATTAATATTTTTCATCAAATTTACAGAACGTGCGACAGGCCCGGAAGAGACGCCGAGCGAGATGACGAACGAGGCGAGAACGAGGACGAGGAAGAAAATCCACTGGGCAAATGGCCGCACGCGCTCAGTCCAGTATTCGCTTACCTCGGCTGTACGCTCGGGCTCTTTAATATTAGTCGATTCGCCATACTCAGCACGCAGTTTGGATGTGAGTATACGATCACAAAACTTCGTTACAATTTATGCTATATAACTACGATGTTGCGATCGATATTCATGATTGATGCGTCTCTTCCTTCGCAGTGAATTTTCTCCTACAGTTCCTGCTACTCTCCTTCGTCATAGGTATTCCGTTGTTCACGCTGCAAGTATGTCTGGGCCAGAGGCTCGCCGCCGGCGCCGTCGACATGTGGAAGATATCGCCGCTCTTTCAGGGCGTCGGCATCGCTCTTCTACTCGCCCAAGCCTTCATCGGCATCTATAGCATAGTCGGAGTCTCCTGGATGTTCGTTTATTTCAGGTAAGTCATCGCACGATTGATTTTTGAAAATAAAAACAATGATTTAACGCTTGAATTGCGCACTCGCAGGGACTCGTTCATAACGAAGCAGGACAGATATCGCTGGGCCGAGCCCTATCCCCTGTATCGCGACGACATCAGGCCCACGACGAGCGGCAGCATCAGCAATCCCAACACGAGCAGCTTCAACATCCGTTTCACCGATCCGGCGGTCAGTTACAATCTGCTGGAGACCGTGCCGGATTACTTTAACGGCGTCGTGCTGCAGAGGCATCATCTGAACGAGCCCGATCCCGGCGTCGTCACGCTCAAGTTCCAGGTGGCTTTCAACCTGGCCGTCGTCTGGATGATCGTTTTTGTTTCACTGAGTAAAGGTAATGAAATCTCCTCGATCTCCTCGTGTTCGAAGCTCGAGCTTCCTCTCTAACGCGTCTCCTTTTTCCGCACACAATGTAGGACTGAGATCGTACGGCAAGGTCGTGTACGTGTTCACGCTGGTGCCGGTCTTCGGCACACTGGTACTGTGCACGAAGATGCTGGGATTGCTGCCGACCAACGCGTCCGTCAGTCTGTTCTTCCCGAGCACCGTCTGGCAGGAGTTCTTCACCAACGGCCGCAGTTGGGTCGCCGCCATGTCCGAGGTCTTTCTCACCTGGGGCCTGCTGGGCTCCGCCGCGATGCAGATCGCCGCGCACCACAAGCACAAGACCCTCTACCGCGACACGAGCCTCGTGATCATCATGACGTTCCTCGTGCTGCTTCTGGCGAGTTTCCTCGCCAACACCTGCTCCAACATTCTCAAGTATCACGGCTACGTCTACACGTCCAGCTCGTTTGGTGAGTTTTATACCCGCATGACTCAGGTCGTGTCGCGATCTAACGCAAGTTTTTCCCATTTTTATCATCATAATTATCGTTAAGTTTTTGAATATTCTGCAATTGGTACATTTGCATCATTCGAACATTTTTTCATGCGCATCAAAGCAACATCATGATTTCCCTCTTATTTGTTATTTCGTACTTTTGCAGAACGGATATCGGTGTACTCGTTCATGAAGCCGTACAATCAGATATTCACATCGGACTACAACACGCCGGAGCGTCTGATGCCCCACGCCTCGTTTCTGGTCGGTGAGCGCGTGACGAAGCCCAACGCCGATCTCAACTACGAGTCCGGATATCAGGTTTTGAGGCTGGCGACCGAACTGGTGCCGGCGACCCTCGCCGCTCTCGGCGCCGAGCAGGTCTCGCCTTTCTGGGCTGTGCTATTCTACTTCATCCTTATACTGTTCGGCATTGCTCAACAGGTAAAGAAACACACGCAGCTCGCGAATCATCTTTATTCGCTATATGCATCGATTGATTTTATGTATAGCGACGGCAGGCGAAGCAATCATTTGCACGATGACTATAATGATACATTCTTTGTTTTTCTTTTTTGTTTCAATTAATAGTTAGCGATCTGGCATTGCGTTATAACTGGTATCATGGCCATAAATACGAAGATGATGAAGCTGTGGGAGACGACGATTACGTTCTTCAGCTGCGCTTGTGCATATATACTGGGTCTTCCAATGGCTACTGAGGTGAGATTTCATTGTCTTCTTCAATTCGAAAAATTCACAAATTATAAGGAAAATAAGTAGGGCCGGAAAGTATTTGTATACTCGAGTTAGTTATCTTGTCATCGAACTGATTTTGTCTCTATCTGTATTGTGGTACAGTGTATTTTTAAAACCAATCGGTGACACGCAGCTTGCAATTAGTATATCAATGCATAATAAACATTACATAAGTTATCAATACAAACGAGTCGCATCTATGTTATACGTGTATATATATCGGCCACACGTATAAAAAAAAATGATACTATCAAGGCCTGACACGAGCCTAACGATGAATATACCGCGCGCGCGCGATTACGCAAGCTGCCAACTACTGCTGCACTCGCTGCATCCATCGAGACTCGCGTGCAGCAGCAGCAGCACAGCATCGATGATGCTCTCCGCTCGTTGCGGAGAGGCCGAATGAAAAATTGCCTCATCTCGTCACTCGCGTACACGCAGTCGAGATCACACCTGCGTCTCCATAAAGTCGATCCTCGCTCTACGCGTATATTAAATTTAAAAACTTGCGGTGCTTTTTATACACGATATACAGTACAAAATACGGACTTGCGCGCGCGCGCACGCGGGGTCACGGTACTCGAGAGAGCTTATCAGTCATACTTATCAGAGAGCTCGGTGCCGTGGAACCTATAATACGTCGCGCAATTACAAACCTTATCTCACTCTTTCTCTCTCTCTCTCGCGCGCGAGGGCGCCCAAGCACAGTATACGCAAAGAGCAGGTGAAAATCTTTCGACGTCGTAGTGTACTTTTCACGCGAGCGAGTCCACAGATACGTGTATGTGTAGTTGCGCGGCGATAGTTCGCCAATCTCCAGGAATCAGATCGCTATCGGCGCCATCCCGCCGTAAGGTGTTGGTGACATGATTTACATGCGTATCAAAATCGAGTGAGAATCGGCTAGCGGCGTATCATGTATTTCGGTATGTGCGAGCGCCTTTGCAAACCCATCGAACAAAACAGGTGCTCGTGTAAAAAAAGAGCTCGTACTGTAAGTGTGTGCATGTGTACAACGATCTACGATAAAATTCGAGCGAGTAAATAGAGCAATTGTGTATCGTTGTCGTCGTCGTCGTCGTCGTCGTCGTTGTTGTTGCGCGCGTGTGTAGGCGTACGTACGCGCATTGCCGCAGTGTTACGAGCTAGTTACGAGCCTTCTTCGTTCGGAGCTATGAATCGTCAATCATACGCTCCGCAATAACTCGACGGGTGCGAGTGACTGACTGACTGACTGTGTACGCCGTTACTCTAGAAATCGTGTGTGTATATCGTGAGTAATATCGCCATCGGCGTGGTGCTCGTACGTCATGAACAGCCAGAATGGTCCTGCAGCCCGAGAAAATCCGGCGACGCCTCCACTGCCTGGGACGCCGACCAAGACCACCACTTGCTACTTTTGCGGAGAGATTTTGGACAAGCGTTACGCCAACGAGCACGTGCGCCACTGCGGCGCCGTGCTCGAGGAGTGCCCGGCCAAGTGCGGAGCTTACGCGACTCGCGTCGACCTCGAGGAGCACTTGGTGCGTTGCCTCGGCAACGCCAATCGCCAGCAGAATCGACAAAACGGCGCCGCCTGCCACAGCAACAACAGCAACAACGGCGTGTCCTGCAGCGAGCGAACGGGTGGCATCGAAGCCATCGAGGCTCGGCTGCGTTCGCTCAAGCAATCCTCCTGGCAGGACAAGGTCGTCTCGATACTCGGCTTGCTGCGCACGGCCATCAACGAGGGCGAGCAGGAGGTCAAGGATCTGAGGAACACCCTGGCGTCGAGCTTGCAGGCCACCAACGAGGCGCTGCGCAAGGACATACTGCAGGAGCTGTTCGAGTCGCGCAAGAGCTCGGCGGCGCTCAACGCCCGGCTGGGCGGTCTCGAGCGATGCTACCTCGACCTGCAGAACAGGTCGGCCTCGGGCATGCAGCAGCTGGCCGCCCAGCTCGACGCACTGCGACTCGAGTCGGCCGAGGAGAGGCGCCAGCTGGCCATGGAGCGAGACTACTGGCGCGCCCTGCTCGACGACTGCAAGGCTCACTTCAGCCAGGAGCGCGCCGAGATCTGTAAGCTGTGGCGCGAGCAGTCCGAGCGAGTGCACGATCTGCGGCTCGAGCTCGAGATGCGCTGCAAGAGCACCAACGAGCTGGTGGCCAAGCTCGAGGAGCTGAACGAGCGAGTCGCGGCCTTGGAGCAGCGAAGTCAGAACGAATCCGAGGCGACGACGAATTTGCTCAACACCGAGTGCAAGACGCTCAGGCTGCAGATGAAGCAGAACGTCGAATTCATTCAGGACATCATCCGAGAGGCCATCAAGAGCCAGCCGACCAAGTACTACGAGTGCAGCTGCCAGTCGGAGAGTCAATTCATCGGGCGGCTCATGTGGCGCATCGAGGACTTCGAGGAGAAGTTTCAGGAGGCGCGCGACGCCAACGCCGTGCTCTACAGCCCGATCTTTCACGATCGCGAGTTCGGCTACACGCTCAGACTGGAGCTCTACCTCAACGGGCTCGGCCAGTGGAAGAATCGCCACGTGATCGGCTGTCTGCAGTTCGTCGAGGGCAAGTGGGATCCGCTGCTCGAGTGGCCCTGCTCGATGAAGGCCACCGTCACGCTCAAGGACCAGGACAACTCGCTCAACGACGTCAACAAGATCGTCAAGATCACCAAGTCGATGAGACTGAAGGACGCCGCGGTAGCCGACAGCGAAAATCCGACGAATCAGCGAATGTTCATAGCTCACACTCAGTTGGCTCGCCATCCCGGCTACACGAAAAACGACGTCATGTATCTCGATATTAGGATCAGCAAAGATAATAGCAAGTTGAGCGGGTCGACCGTATCTTTAGTTTAGAAAAAATTCGATGACAATCTAATAAGTGTATACAAAAACGATCATGGCCTCGAGATCTTAGATTATATTATAAGCACAGAAAACATTCTTTACAAAAACTTCGTTGCACGATGGTATCGCATTTTTCAATTAACATGGAAAAAATTCGCAATTATTCAACAATTTCAGTTGGGCATCTACGTTGTTTATTATTTGGATTACACGATCGGCGGTGCCTGGTGGATCATAGTCCTGTATCTGGTTCAGGTGATCGCCGTTTTTGCCGTGAGAGGTCGACCGCACACCGGTGATATGGTGGTTACTGAGCTAGTCCCGAATTACGGCTGTCTGAAGTACTGGGCTGGTCCTCTCCTATCGTTCACCTGGAATGTGATCCTCCCCATCGCGATGATGGTAATACAGTTGCTCAATAATTTCTCTTCTACTATTATTATCCAGTGAGCCTAATACTGACGTTATATTACTTTCCTATATCTGCAGATTATGAGCATAACCATATTCAAAAACACCGGTTACCGAGAGCTCTACAGCTATCGTCGCATGAGCAAAGACTACTGGTACGTCTGGGCAAGGCAACTCGGCGCTTCGATACAGCTCGTGCCGATCTTGCTGATACCGGCGGTGGCCATAATACAGACCTGTCGTTACCTCAACAGCGGACCACCCGATGTGTTCGACGTGAGTATTTCAAAGACAATTGTTTTCAAAAGCTCGCACGATTCGAGCTTTCAATCTCTAACTTCGAAAGATCCTTGCTTCGACGTGTTTAACGCTCGGACGTTGATTAACGCTTGTGCGGATGTTATCAAATATCGGGTACGGTCGATTTGCATCGACTCGCTGATTGAGTACGTGGGCCTCAACTGTGAGAAATGCATTAACGATCGTACGCGAAATATTCGATGAAATAATTGTCAAGTGTTGATCGGAATCGCGATTGATTGATATATGATTTATTTATAAAATCTAACTGAGCTTTATAAATGTGAAAATTGCGCTGTAAACTAACGGTAGATTGTTGTTATGTCTGTTTACCCTAAATAATGATCAGGACGATGATCAAGTGGAGGTGAATTTAAGTCACTGTAATCAATGCAACGGCGTAAGTTTTTCTCTCTCGAATGATTAACTTTTATAGTCGTGACATAAATCATTGCGAATGGCATTTCGTAGACTCCTTTTTCTTTATTTTATGAATGATCACTTTGTGTAGTTATTGGGCGTTGCTGAATACGCACATTGCGAATGCACGATTTCAGGCAACGCTTTTTTTGTTCAATGTATAATAATTTACGTTCATTTAATTTATATTTCATGATCATAAAATATGCATGGAAAACACCTTTTGACAAAAAATTTCAATTAAATTATTCAATTATTAAGTGTTAGAAAAGAAAAATATCCTTGAAACAAAGTTTATAATGGAATTTGACGAATTTGCAGAGAATCCAGCTGCTCTATCGACCACCGATGGACGTCGACGATCCGAACGCCGATCCCATTCAGCTGGGCGCTGCCAATGGGATGGGCAACGGACACGGCAACGGGCTGGTCGCGTCGAGCACGGATCTGCCCTTCGAGGACCCGCCGCCGAAGTACACACCGCCGCCCAGCTACACGACGGCCACGGGCGCCCGAATCGCCAAGATGCTTCGCCAGAGCTATCGGCGCAGCGTCCGACGTATCACTAGTATTTTAGGCGACGGCCAGGTCGCCGGAGGTGCAGTGACCAGACAGAGACCGGCACTCCAGCAGCAACACCAGCCACCGCCGCCCGATTACGCGGCCGTACTCGTGGAGATGAATCAGAGCGTGTCGTCTCGCGACGTTGCCATACACATCAGCGAGGTAAGGCATCGGGGAGTTTTTTCGCTATAATTAATTGATGTCACGACAATGTATCGAATCGATTATCTCATTTCGCAGGATCGACCGGACGTGGCTAACGTCAGACGCTCGATTCGTCAACCGAGACGGGTTCCGAATCAACGCAACTGCAGCACTATGGAGCGCAATCCGTCTCGCCCCGTGGATCGTTCGCTCGGTCGAGGACACTACTCGATGGACCGACGCGTCCCAATGACGCTGCAGCAGCAGCAGCAACAACAATCGGCGGAAAGTTCAGCCGCGTCGACGCTGACCGCGAGCGAGGTCGCGAATCTGCTAAGAAGCAGCGTGCGCCACAGTCATGGGAGACGACTGCAGCAAAATCATCAGACTTCTCCTCCTCCTGCTCGTGGCAACGCTCCTCCGAACGTGTCCATAGCGGTGAACGAGGCGGACTCGAGCGCGATGACGCAGCGAGAGTCGCTCAACGTGGCGTCGGCGGAAAATTTGGTCGAAGCCGCGGCGCCGATCGGTCGCGAGCCGACCGTCGAGCAGCAGGATTCAAAGAAGACTGCGCCCCCGAGCCCTGTTTCTGTGATATAGACTGATCGTGAACGATGCAGGATTTATTGTTTCGCAATGTTGTTCGATTGTACGTTGAAAATTTTACCTGCTTGTTCATGAGTCGATGCTTGTATGAGTAAGAACATATCTTACGTGTGCAAGACTTATGAAAAGTATGAATTTTCCTCTATTTATAGCTAATTTTTATCCATAAATATGAGTGTTTCGGTTAATAACGATTGTGACGTGGACGATATTTCGTCTTTGATTGTGTATATATACACATACTCGAAATTGATCGTTATTACCTGTTGTCGAATTTTTTATTTTATTTGTTTTAAAAGATGAGTTTGACCGAGTGTTTACCCGTCTTCTCAAATGTTCAACTGATTAGACTTGATTTTCATGTTTTTAAAAAAGTCAGTAGTGTAAGTTTTAAACATTGTAACCGCTCGATTTGTAAACAGTATCGTTTAAGGTCGTGTATAAATAATATAATAATTCTATAAAATCGTATAGTAAATGTAAATTTTGAATGACAAAAGTATTTATAAGTATATGTACAGTTACAGAATAAGTGAGTATCAAATTCAAGCAAAATCAATACAGGATAATAGTAACAAAATTAAGACTAAAATTTAACTTTCAGAGCACAAAATGTAAGAATTGATTCATATTTGCACAAAAATACTGAAAATCTTCACTGTTTTTGAAAACAATTTTACGAAATAACATATCCTCTTCAAATTTATAAGACTTTTAAAAAACTAACAAGTCAAAATATGTTTTCTTGATACCCCAATCGAAGGCAATATTTTTGGCTCTGCTGACAAAACAAATATTTTATTTTACATTGAAGGACTAGAGTAGAAGTATACACACCGTGGGAAATAAACAAGAATGCCTTATTTACATGTGATCTGAGACATTCTTTTTTTACCCCCTCAAGTCCGTATTTTACTATAAAATCTATGATTGAAGAAAATTAATTAATCGCAGAATATTATGAGAGTTAGAAATCGTTTTTGGAATTACTGTACCAAATTATAGCTGCAAATAACACGCAATGTATATGAAAAATAATCGTATGAACTGTAAATATGTTTAGTGTGTCCTGACATATGACATTACGTCAGACTGTTTTTTCATATCTACAATGTAAAATATTTGAAAATGCTCTAAATAAATGTCATGTATGTTTTAATGGTTCAGTGTTCATGAGTGTAGACACTAATTAGAATATTAACTAGATATCTTTTAATTCCATGTACATTTATCTACTGTTTAAAAAACTTAATTATCGACGAGACTTATATATTATAAATGTTTATAATAAAAGCAGCAATTCAGTGCTTTGTGATTCAAAAACATTAAGATCCACGTTCATTGCTTCCTTCTCTCTCTTTCTCTTTTTATCTTTATCAACCGATAAAAAGTATGTTAAAGCATACTATAATTAGAGAAAACTTTCACAATAATCTTTACAGAATTATATTAAATAAACTTTTATGATTTTTATCTCAAATGGTACTTCAATTTCTTTTTGAACATATTTATCATCATTATCAAGTGCATATTAATAGCTTTGTTGACCAAGAATCAGTGAAGATTTCAAAATATGAACAAACTACTTTGATTCAATAAATTCTGTTAGCTTACAAATATAATAAAGTATAAAATTTCAAACTATTAAAATAATACCCAGAAAACCAGTAATTAAACGGTGAATTATCTCTAACAATTGAGAAGTTAAGTATTGATACAATTTTAATTTAATTAAATGGGGTAATGAAAGGATAAAAATGAAAGATTTATTTGAATTAAAAAATTTTATTTATTCTAAAAATTTTCAAATTCTTTACTTTTCGCTCCTCTTGACTTCTTTAACTTGAAGACCTGAAAAATAAAAAATTGTTATTCAATTAAATAATTAAATTTTTTAAATAAAAAGATAGTGGTATTCAACTATAGTTCAATTTACCTGGTGGGAGGGACTGTTTTAGTTTCTCTGCCTTTTCTTTGTCTGTGATGACAAGAGTGTATAAGAACCGAGAGCAACGGACTTTGAATTTGACATTGTCAAGGTTCTTCTTTATTTTAACAGCTAGAGAAAAAAATGTTCAATTATTAATTATATTGAAGATTTAAAAAATTATCCTAAAAAAAATAACTCGTAGAAGCTTAAAGAAGCTTAAATGTGTTCTGAATATAGACTAGACCGCTTTAAGTTTGTAAAATAATATTTAATAGAACAAAAAAATAAATAGGGTCTTTTATAAGTACATTCAAAAGAAGTCAAGCCAACCGTTGATTTTATCACAGAAAAAATAATAAGCATAAATACTCTAACACAGAGTTGGGTGGCTGTTACAACAAGATATAAAATTAAAATTTACAAATGGTATAACTTACATTTGGCATCTTTCCTGCGAGCCTTCAGAAGGAAGTCCTTGATTTCTTTAATCTCCTTCGGCTGTAAATAAAAATGAAATATTTTAATAAACTTCAAGGTTGGAACACTCACGTTATTCATGATTGCATTTAAGGTTAGTTTTGCGCTATACGTTTTTCAAAGACTAGTAAAATACTCTTTTTAAATTAATGTCAAAAATTACTCAATAAAAATAAAACAAAAGTTAACTTAAACTTATAGATTGAAATACTTATTGTTAGTGTAAATTGAAACATACCATGTTGATCAATTGTGAATAATCTTGACGACTTATCACACGAATACCTAGAACACACCAAAAAATAAATTATTAACATACTTGTTCTTTTATAAATAACTTAGTAGTTGCAAGCTTCAAAGATAGTAGTACTTATGATGATCGATTGAGAAAGAGCAATTTTAAAGATTATTAAAATAACAAAAGAGTATAACAGAATATTTTCAGAGATATTGCGACTCACCTACGTCGGATCAACGTAGAAAAGAGAGCACGAGTTGGTTCGCAGTTGAGCTACGCTGTTTCAGGTTATCGATTCTTCCACACTTCAAGGCGTCCGTTACGCGCATGCTTGTATAGGCGGGAACGGAGGAATTTTCAAATTTTTTATGAAAGTGTGGATTCTTTGAATAAATGAATATTTACTATTGATAATTGGTAAAAAGTATATTAAAGAATGCTCTTATCAAAATTTAAAAATTTCATTAAAATCCACATCATATAAAAATCATATTAAAATAGGTTTTTATGATTTTTATCTGTATCTGTTATTTAATTTTACTTCAAAAATGTTAATTATTATTGTTTATAGCTAAAATTCCTTTAAACATTCTACACAGTGCCGAACAATAGCTTCAATGTCAAAAATAGTCGTGAAGATTTGGAAATATGATTAAATTACTTTAGTTCGATAATTCTTTTGTTTTTTTTTGTATTGTGTAATAGATAAACATTCAAAACAATATATTAAGGTAGTAATAAAAATGAAAGATTTATTCGAATTGGAATATTTTATTCATTTTAAAACATTTTTTTTATAATTTACTTTTCATGCTCCTCTTGAATTCTTCAAATTAAAGACCTATAAAAGAAAAGATTTTTTTTTATTCAATAACTCAATACTTTTTAAATTTAAATGTAGTATTAGTTTGCTTGAATTTACCAAGTGAAAGAGCTTTTTTTATTTTTTCTGACTTTTCATAATTTGTAATGACAAGAGAGTACAGAAACGGTGAACAACGGATCTTGAATTTGACATCGTAAAATTCTATCTTATTTTGACAGCTAGAGAAAAATAATTTTAATAATTACTTCAATTTGTAATTATAAATAATTTTCAACTATCATCATAGACCAGATTAACATATAAAAATCGCGTTCAATAATTCACACGACACTTACCCAAATCCAATGACCTATAAAACAAGTTTATTTTAAAAACCGATTAAGCCATCACTTTTTGGAGTAAATATAAATCCATATTAATGTGAGTAAATATATTAAAAATATTAAATTATAAAGTATGAGATTGTCCATTGAAAAATAAATTGATAGTTGTACGAATAAACAATCGTAGTATTTATGACGATCAATTAAAATAGAAAAATTTCAAGAATTATTTGTATAATAAAAGAAATTTAAAAGAAAACACAATCTAATCGACGCAAACTCAACTCCAGAACTAAAAAAAGATTCTTTTTTTTTAAACCCGCACGACTCGGGTCTCGGAACCAGTCTGATGAGGTCTAGGCTTCTTCTACACTCCGGTGCTATAAAAACGCGTGTAATTTGCGGGAACTAAGAAAATTGCAAATTCTTAATGAGTGTATGGAATCATTGAGGAATTAATTAATTAAAATAGAATTAAATTAATGGATTTTAACATTCATAAATGTTTGATAATGTCATAAAAATTTTTTAATAGTAATGAGCGTAACTCGATTGGATAATATAAATATTTACACATGGAAAATTAGCAACTGATTTGTGCAAAATGTAGGTTTGTTCCGTTTCATGTTGAGTTGTCAATTTTTTATCCTTCTCTGACTCATCGCGAAAGTAGATATTGTGGGCGTGGAATACCGTACGACGTTCGATTCTTGATGCACTTGTGACGACGAAGATAGCTTTACATGGATATAATTAGATTGAACAAGGACACCTACAGAGCTGACTTTATTCATAAAAGCCCGAAGCCGATGAATCATGATAACAAGTCATAGTAGACGTTCGCGAATTGTTTAACCTCCCCTCATTATGCAGAAGTACCGAGTGAGCGAAACTTATCAATAATCAACTTTTTTTTTCAATAAGTTCACGAATTTTGGCTTCAAACGGTGCATCGCTTTGGACTAACTGTGTTTTTGTCGTGACTATTTTTATAAAAATTCAAAGAAAATGACTGAAGTTTACAATTTGGGTCTGGATGCTACTACATGTCATGTCTGGAATGAAGACAGAACTGGAATTGCACTTTGTCCCAATAATAATGAGCTTCATGTTTATAAACAAGAAGCATCAAACTGGAAACTTTCTGAAATACTTCAAATTCATGATCAACGAATAATGGGCATTGATTGGGCACCAAAAACTAATCGTATAGTTACTTGTGCTGCTGATAAAAATGCCTATGTTTGGACACAGAACGAAGAAGGCAAGTGGACTCCTTCATGGGTTTTACTTAGAACTAATAGAGCTGCTACTTGTGTCAAATGGTCTCCAAAAGAAGATAAACTAGCTGTTGGTTCAGGAGCTGGAATTATCTCTATTTGTTATTTTGCATCAGAAAATAATTGGTGGGTGTCTAAACATATTAAAAAACCACTGAGATCCACAGTAACTGCTGTTGATTGGCATCCAGACAACAAAATCCTTGCTGCTGGTTCAGCAGATTATAAGGTGCGAGTTTTTAGTGCATATATTAGAGACGTTGACCGTAGCAATAGTGAAAATTCATGGGGAAGTAGTACTACTTTGGGAAACTTGTTTGGTGAATTTCCTAATTCTCAAAATGGAGGCGGATGGGTACATGATGTGGCTTTCAGTCCTTGTGGCACAAAAGTATGTTGGGTTGGACATAGTTCATCAATTTGTGTTGCTGACTCTCTTAAGAAAAATAATATTGTAAGAGTTTTAACTGAATATTTACCTTTCTTGAGATGCATTTGGCTAGATAACAGTCATATTATCGCTGCTGGTCATGACTGCATGCCAATGGTCTACAAACTTGATAATGCAGGAAAATTAAGTTTTGCCACCAAATTAGACAATACTCAAAAGAAAGAAGCTGCTGGTCTCACAGCTATGAGAAAGTTCCAATCTCTTGACAGGCAAGCTAGGACAGAAATTCATGATAGCGCTCTTGATAGCATACACCAAAACACAATCACTTGTATTAGGAAACTGTCAAATTCAAGATTTAGTACGAGCAGTCTTGATGGATTACTTGTTGTTTGGGATATCAAGGCACCCGAGCTCATGATGAACTCGCTGAGGATCAATTGATTCATCGATTAACTTCCGCAGAATTCCCTTTAGTAGCTCTATTTAAATAATAATTTATAACGAGGATTGCATTTATATATTAAATGATAAACAGAAGGTATTGTTTATATTTTTGAAATTTTGTTAAACTTTACTGTGAAAATATAATGTTCTTATTCTTATTGTCCAACAACAATAATAATAACAGTATTTAAGTAATGTAATATATTATTTTACTATTGTTAATACGCAGTGTTCTTAAACTTTGTATTAATCTTTTGTATAAAGAGTATCAACTCTCCCTAATAGAATAAATTAATAAAAAAAATTATAATAAATGATTAAATTTAATTATTTCAACTAAATATTCATAATAAGTAATAAATATATTTACTCATGCATATAGCTTCTACAAAACCAGTCAATATTTTATACCAGAAAATATTTCAAATTAATTTAAAAATATTATGGTTGTTATTATTTTTGAACTCTATCGCACGCTTGTCTTGCTGCAACGCTTCAAGTTTCATAAACATTAGAATGATCCATCGCTTTGTCTGTATTCGAACAGTCATCCCTCGCTGAATCCTTGTGCTTCCTTCAAAAGTTATACAACATAAACATTAAAATGTCAATTTTAAGTGATTCATGAAGAAGAACGAGTATGTATTTTTCTGAATCACCTGCTGACCCGAGCCTTGTAAGCTACCCACAGAGCAATGAAGATTCCAAAAAACAGCACTCCAATCACAATGCAAATGATGAGCACCAGGTTCATTTCCGCAGCTGAAACAGACGGTAAATATTTCAAATATCATATTTTAATATAACACTCAGGAATAGCCTCATTACCGGTCTTTACGACGAAAGCCCGTGAATCGGCGTAGCCGCCGTTGGTGAAGGCCATCATGCGCACCTCGTAGCTCGTGTCGGGCTTCAGCGGCCCGTTGCAGAAGAGCTTGCGCTTGTTGGTCAGCGAAAAGTCTTTGCAGGTACTGTCGTCGCCGATCGTATACTTGACCGCCTTTATTCCTCCGTAATCCAGGATAAAGTTGGCTGCGTACGCAAAAGAAGAAGCTCGCGGCAAGATCAGTCGTGTTCACATTTGTTGTCGTTGTTCTACTCACGATAGGGAGTCCAGTAGGGCTCGGTGACCTGGTAGGGTATCCGAAAGTCGCGTTCCATGGCCTCGCGCCACGACGAGACGTTGGGCCAGACGCCGTCGGGCTCCTGGCTCGTGGCGACGAAGCGTCGACTCAGGCGCTCGTACGGGTAGCCGAGGCGCGACACGAGAATCGCGTAGAACTGCACGTAGCCGTTGGTGTCGGGGAACAGCGGCAGCAGGATCTCGAACGAGCTCGTGGTGCAGCGCACGTTCGCTCGGTCCAGGGCGATCGACTTCATGTAGTCCTCGCTCGGCTGGGGCGGTATCCCCGAGGGATACTCCGTGACGTACTCGGCCGGCTCGCCCTTGAGATCGCCCTCGATGACGGCGCTCACCCGGAAGCTGTAGGTGAACTGGGGCTTGAGCTCGCCCAGACTCACGGAGAATCGCTCGTTCTTCTGGAAGCGATCTTTATCGTCGACCGGCACGAAATTGGCGAACGAGTGATTGCGCCAGTTGGCCCGATGACCGAGCACCAACACCTCGAAGCGTTTGAGGGGTCCGCGCAGCGAGCAGGGCAGATGCCAGCTCAGTATCGTGTCCAGGGCGTTGCTGTCGTTGGCCCGTGCCCTCGTCGCGTACTTGAGATCGGTGACTCTGTCGGGCACGCCCCGGAACTGGCTCCGAAAGTAGATCGCTTGGCTGCGGGGACTCCAGCCGCTGCGGGTCTTGGCCTCGATCCAGGCCGTGTAGTTGGTGAAGCCGTCGCCGCCGAGCCACTCGTAGCTCGTCTGGTCCGCGGCCAAGTCGTCCACCAGGTGGGCTCGATCGACGTGGCAGTGATCCGGCACCGGGTACAGGGGCTCGCCCAGCAGCCTCAGGCGATACTGCAGCAGTCGGCCGGGCATGATCTCGGGCGCGTCCCAGTCGAAGCGGAAGCCCCGGCCGGTACCGAGATCGGCGAGACGAAACTTGGCCGGGGCCGAGGAGGCGTCGTCCTTGGTGAAGATGGGCACGGGCATGCCCGCGGCACTGGGCCCGGCCTCGTTGTGGGCCCAGCCCCAGCAGAGGTAGCGCGTGTACGGGCTGAGGCCCGAGACGACGAGCTGCAGCCGGGGCACGAGGCGGGCGTTGCAGCTGCGATTCGCCCGGCCCCGCTCGATCGGCTCGTAGCCGTAGCCCTCGGTGTAGGACAAGTTGCACTCGGTCGAGACCGACTGGACGCTGCAGTTGCTCGCCTCGTTCTGCACGTGCCACTGCAGTGTGATCGAGGACTTGGTCGACGTGAACGGAGGCAGGTTCTGCTGGTTTATCAGCTTCGGTGCCGAGCTGACTGCGTCAAATTCATACTCGTTTTTCGTCCATTCTACACAAATCCGAAAAAGTAATAATAACTACCTCTGGGCAGGGTAGGCTTGGACTGTATGGTCGACACGAGTCCCTCGGCGCCGTCGCGGTCGATCGCCCTGACGCTCACCAGGTACGAGGCGCAGGCGTAGAGCTGCAGAAACAGGGCCGAGGTGTCGGACGTGCTCTTCACGTCGCTGTGCGACTCGCCCTCGGCCAGGAGCGTCTCGATGGCGACCTCGTAGCGATCTATGCAGGCGCTGCCCGAGCCCCGGGGACGCTGCCACGAGACATTGAGCGCCGAGTGGCCGCCGTACAGGATCGGCTCGACGGTCAGGATCAGCGGCGCTCCGGCTTCTACTCGTCATTTTTTTACGTGATTACCTTTTTTTCTGTACATTTTGACGCATATGTAGGTACTTACGAGATTTGAGAGTGGTCGCGAGGACGTCTCTGCGAGCCACGAGCGAATCGTCGGGCGTCACGGTCACGTTGTACGTCGTGCACGACTCCAGATCCTCGATGGTATAGCTCGTCGTCGGGTCCTCGGCGACGAAGCTCCGATTCGCCGAGCCGACGGGGACGTCCTGCTGCTGGCTGCTGGACACTTTTTTGTACCAGTCGATCCGGTAGAAACTCGCGTTCTTGCCGGAAACACGCCAAGACACGATCAGCGAGTCGGGACTGCTTTCCGCTTTCAGGTCTTCGATTTTTGTCGCGACGCCTGGTAGGGAAAACATTTTTTCTCGAAGTAGAGAAGAAAATAGAGCAGTGAAAAAGTTGTTTACCGTCGAGCGACCCCTCGTCGAATTCGAGCTCGCTTGAATTGGAATTTTGATCGTCGAAAAATATTTCCACAGTCTCGTTATCTGGTCGGAGGAAAATAAATCAATAAAAAAAATATAGTTAACAGTTTTTAACAATAATTTCAAACGTCGAAATTGACTTACCAAATAATTCACAATTACACGTAAGAAAAAATGTTAACAAATAATTAAGATTAATCAATAATAATTCTAATTTCATCAGCATCATAATTATTTATTTTCTGTTGAATGATATAAATTTAAAATCGATAGCGTAAATTAATTATCAATAAATTATTTTTAAAGAAGCAGAATATGCAACGATCCTTTCGCGAATAGTTAATGATATGAAACTGATCACGTCAGATAGAAAATTTAATGCGCAGGAAAATTGATATCGCATTTTTTTATTTATTCAACTCTCTAAAAGGTATCGCGTTCGATAGATAAAATTTAATGCTTAATATAACTTTGGTGCGGTAACAATGAAAAAGTACATCGTTATCGCGTGTGTTTACTACTAAACTACTTTCTGCGAAATTTGATAAAGTTAAATATCTATTTTCATAAAATAATTCCTCAAGGGGCACAGAAAATAAAGAACAGTCAACTTATTTTAAATATATTTTTCAATGCATTATTATCGTAAGTTTTCTCATCGATTCGAGCAAATTACTTCGTCAAAATTTCTAAATTTGTATTCTTTTTTTTTTAATTCGTTTTATTGGCCTTAAATTTGTATTCGGTGCCGTTCAGCTTTCGGCGCCATCTGCCAGACATATTAGTAATTAATGAGCGGCGACGATTATTCTGCTTTGTGGCTATCCTCCCGAGTCGAACTCTTTTCACGTCTACTCTGCACGTGTGCTAAGACGTTATTCTTAACGCATTCATCATGGCTGAGGTTAATAAATTTCCTTTTATTTATAACTAAATAATAGAAGATGGCAAAATTTTTGTTTTTAATCTCACGTTTTACTAGTGCATTATCTTAAAATACGTACATTGACAATCGTATAAAACATCACGAAAGTTCTAACATTTATTAGGTTATGAGCAATACGCTTACTAGCGGTTTGATTAAAACTTTTATTTATGATTTCCAGGTCGATGAAACTTTGAAGAAGAAGAGGACCTTCAGGAAGTTTACCTTCCGAGGTGTGGATTTGGACCAGTTACTGGACATGCCCACGTAAGTTGAAATTTTCGCATGATTTTGTTTCGTCACGAGCTCGAAGGAAAAGTACTTGCTGTGTATGCTTGATGTTCTTTTTACGATGCTCAAGATGTTATCAATAGGCATGTTTTTTGCAAAAACGTACAACATGATAATTTACCAAATATTGCTATAAATAATTATGTTTGCCATATGAAACTGAACATGCATATTTCATTTATTTTACAAAAACAAGTAATATAGAATCGGGTAGTAGCCATTATTTGCATTTTGTGTAAAAAAATATTGCTCCGAATTGTTCAGTAATCAAATATCATCCCTCATTTCAGCGAGCAGGTCATGGAGCTGATGCATGCTAGAGCTCGCAGGCGTTTTAGTCACGGACTCAAGCGCAAGCATTTGGCCCTTGTCAAGAAGTTGCGCAAAGCCAAGAAGGATGCTCCACCAAATGAGAAGCCAGATATCGTCAAGACTCATCTGCGCAACATGGTCATTGTCCCCGAGATGGTTGGCTCTATCGTCGGTGTTTACAACGGCAAGGCCTTCAACTCTGTTGAAATCAAACCAGAGATGATTGGCCACTATCTTGGCGAGTTCTCCATCACATACAAACCTGTGAAGCACGGTAGACCTGGTATTGGTGCTACCCACTCTTCACGTTTCATTCCATTGAAGTAGAGCGATAAAAATGTTGATATTTTAATTAAAAAGATTTTTCAATTAACTCGCATACACTATAATAAGTAATACATACAATATGTACAACAATATGCAATACATCCAATGTATTGCATACAATAATTTGTGTAAATGAGTTAAAGATTGTTTACAATCCATCAATCTAAAAATAATAAATATAACATTTTGACATTCAATGATCGTTGAGCTTAAAGTTTATTTGCATAATAACCATTTATATAGTATGTATATATTTTTCATTATCTTTAAAAAAAAACTCATAAACTTTATTTTATTTATTTAATCGCTCAAGTTTAAGTCGTGGATAGAATGTGAATTAAAGTAAGCTAAAGGTTCATCATGTAATTATTAAATGTTGTTATAAGAAGCTCAATTATATGTTACCAGTAATTATTCTTGGCATTTTCTAACACTTATATTAAATGTTTTTCTCACAAGTTGTACGAATGCTTTCATTTTGATTTTACATGGTGTACCTTTTTTTATTTAAAAACTACAATGGTAAAGGAAGAACAGAAAATCTTGAAAAGCAAATTTTAAAATTTTCTATTTTATTCTGGCTCTGATTCACTTTTCAATTTTTTTGAAAAGCTTATTACATATGTGACCAATTTGAGCTATTGATTGTAATACATACCTTTTCTCATCTTGTACTCTTAAAATAAAATTACAATTATATTTTAATTAAAAAGCTTCTGCATTTAAACCATTCACAAAAATTGCCACACTGATGGCACATTATTCATATCATTACAATACGAGATCTAAAAATAGTCAGAAAAACATGTTATAGTCAGTACGTAAAGCAAAAAAACTCATAAATACAATTTCATTTTAACCAAGAGGCTTCTGCACTTGAATCATTTACAAAAATTGCCAAAGTGATGGCATATTATTCATTACAAGACCAGATCTAAAAGTAGTCAGTATACATTTTTGAGAGACATATCACAATCAATTATTCATCAAATCATAAGCCAGCTGTAAAATCAGGTAAAGATTATTTGAGGCGCGAAAGAAAAAAGAAACAAAAGAAGGGGGTACAGTTTTCTCGGAGTAGGCCCTGTTATGTTCGCATGCCAATCACGCGTTCATCACATTGCTTTACTTTGATCAATACGCTCCGCTCATTGCCCGCGGATCAGTCCGTAACAGGTCTGGCAATATTTTATTGCACTCCCGTGGACGTCCTCTCCGACGCGAGGGGCAAAGATAGCGGAGGCTAACGGCCGTTAGAGCCGCGGCACTTGCTGCCAGAGATCCAAGGACCTTCGCTCAGAGCATGGGTTTGAGTCACGGGGACTCCGTGTGTGGCTCCGTGGTGGAACTCGAGAGAACTGATGCACTTCTACACACGCTTCAGTCTTATATACGAAAAAAGATGAAAATCCTGCCACTTGCGGGTACTGCCACTACCGTCTCTAAAAGCCACCTACAGTCGCTCGACTGGAACTATTTCGACGGCGCGTCTTTTCCATTTTATCGATCGTCTCGCTGGATCTCCTCTTCTGGGCTCGCGACTTTTTGCACTTGTCCGCCAGCACGCGAATGACGAAAAAGTAGACGAGCTCGAAGCTGGTGATCAGGCTGAAGCCCACGAAGAGGCCGAGCAAACCCCCGAAAGACGCTGAAACAAAAAGCGAGGCCAGAAATCGAGCGGCTGAGAAGAATTGCGCGAAATCATACCGAACAAGGCCTTCCAGTCATAGTAAACGTAGCGCCGGTACTGTATCGAGACCAGGTCGGTGAAAAACACGTTGATGAGGCTCAGCTTGCTGCGCTCGTCCACGTTTTTCCTTGATAAAAAACCACAACAACAAAGAATCGATGGTTAAGTGCATGAAAATGGTGAATTTTCAGGGCCAGCGGCTTACCGCGTCGATAACAACACTCGACCCTGGTCCAAAATGCCCTCGGTACTGTCGACGGGATATCGGTAATTCGAGCAGTCGAGCAAGCAGCCGCAGGGCCTCTCCTCGATGTCCAAGTCCAACTGCTCCGGATCGACGATCTTGCCCGGCCACGACGAGTCGTAAAGGGCTGAAAGGTACGGGTAAACTATTCGTTCAAATGGCCGAGTAAATTAAGCGAATTAGTTACATCGAATTTTCGTCAAACACTGGATGTCCCTCAGGTCGCAGTCGCGGGAGGCTGAAAGATAAAATCCACTAGATTGCTTTTCTCTTCTTCTCTCCAAAGGACGAACTGTATATCTGACCGTTGTTGGGCAAGTAATGCGGCACACAGCCGCAATTGTCGAGCACGATCTTGGCCCGGCACGAGTTCAGGCAGTTGACGTACGAGTAGCTGTTCCAGGAGTGCTCGAGCTCGAGCTGGCGCAGCGGCGCCGATCCCACCGGCTCGTCGCTGAAGATGCAGTCGCGCACCCGAACCGGCAGCGACCTGACTTGGGCCGTCGAGTAGGTCGACTCGGGCGACACGTCGAGCAACTCCTGGACGCCGAGGCCGACCAGCTTGAAGGCCGAGCTGCGCACCGGGTAGTCGTGGGGCTCGTGCAGCATCACCTTGACGCCGAACGAGGCCTGCAGACTGGCCCAGTAGTCGCGGGGCCGGGCGTCCACGAGCACCTCCAGGCCCGTCTGGTAGCCGCAGGCGGTCAGGCGTCTGGGCTCCCTCAGGCCGCCGCTGCGAAATCAGGTACGTCGACGGCTGATTATTTATCGGATCATTATTTATTCCTAATTATCCGCACATTTTTGGCTGCGCGTTGGGCCCGAAGTAATTGAAGCTGCAGCAGTGGCCGTCGCGCGACGTAGTCTCCTCGAACAGTTCTCGACACGGCGTGACGTTGCCTTTCCACTTGCAGCTCTTGAGAAGCTCCGAGCAGTCTTGCTTCAGCTGAAGTTGGATATAAATTAAAATTTCGAGCTCGGTATAAGCTCAGTACAATAGTGTACTTGCCTCCCTCGCCACTTGCACGACGGTGTAATTGTTCGCGTCCAAGACGTTTTGCAGAGTCGACAGATTCGCCTGGACGTTGCGACCCGACACGCCGGGATCGAGCAGCTCCACGAGCAGACGCAGATTACGCAGCACCGAATGGCGCGGCACCTTACCGAGCTTTTTCCTATTTTTAATGGTAAAAAGCGACGATTTGGTATAATATTCACGGGATTAAATGACAGAAATTACAATTTTTGGACAAAGTTGTTGGCCTTTTCGCGAGAGATCTGATTGTTGTTGCAGATCGTCACGGCGGGAAACGGATAATTCCAGATGCCGTGATGAGTCGTCTCGATGACGGTCAGCGTCGAGTGAGCCGCGTTGTAGGTCCAGGCAATGTGCATAAGTACGAGTGAAAAAATCAGCGACGAAACGACGATGGCGGCCCAAACGCATCTTCGTGAAAAAAAGTTTTTCGGAATTTTCATTGACCTACACTCGCGAATATATCCGAGTAATATTACGCATTACCTTTCGACTTTCGAGCGTTTCTTCTGCACGATGTACTTGTAGCCGTGCAGGCTCGTCGATAAACAGAACTCGATCGCTTGCGTTTTGATGATGTTCGCGAGATTTTTTTTCTTTCTCTCTCGCGGACTGCCGGCCGTCGTCTGCGTCGGTGGGCCTTTCGATCTTGCTGCTTCCGGCATTTTTATTGTACGTATATTTGCTTATTTATTTTTGTTTACGATCGATTCAATTTTTGTCGGCTAAATATAATACGTACACACCTGCACTGTACTGAAAACGAATGTCAAGTGCAGCGAGTAGATCCTAGCGATGTGATTTTTTTTTCATTTTTCATCGCCCATGAAGCAGTCGGATCGAGTAATTATTCTTATAAAAAATTCAAAGGTCTGTCGCACGGCTTTCGCGTTGAGCGGGGACGAGTATGTTTCCGTCCTTTGATCACGCACTCGAGTTCGCGATGATGAACGCGATGATAAAAAAAAGGTATTCTGCAAAAATAATTTCGACCCAGATTTTTGTATTATGAGAAACAAAGGAATAACTCATTGACTATATATGACTCCGATTGACTACGCGCTCAACTTTTTGTATGATATGAAATCACATTTTCAAGTTTCAACCGCAGCGATAAAAATTCGATAAACAGTCTTTATCCAAAAGCAAACATCGCGCTACAACATCGTCGGGTGATTATATATTTTTAAAATACGTGCATACACATGCACGTTTGAGAAATGAGAGAAGGTAAACTCTGTTTAAATTATCGTTGAATAGTGTATTTATTAAAAAGAAAATTGAAAGTCATTTTTCAAATTTTATTTATTGTAATAACATAAAAAGTTTGCAACATTTAGTTGTACTAGATCTCAGCTAAATCAAAATGCTTCATGACCATGTACGTACACCATGAGCTGTGCTTTAGAGCCGCCAAGCAAATATTATATAGATTTTGGTTAGTTGGCATATCGATGATCATTTCGCAGAAAGGGATCGACAATCGGTTGCGCGTCAACTTCATATAAGATTTTAGGGCCCAGCAATGGAAAAATCTTCTCGATAGCTTCTCGCACAGATGGACAGCACAAACCTCTTGGTACTTTTCGGGGAGTTCGAGCAATTTTTTTGAGCGCGCAAACTCCAAGTAATCCATATTTGTGAGTTGTTTCGCTGCCTCTTCGGGTTTTAATCGGATCAGATCGTAGAGCGATAGGCTCGGCTTTATCATCAATTCTTTTGCTCTACTTTCGAATTCCTCATCGTCGAACCAACATTTTTCAACATCAGCCGACTTCTTGAACAATCCGTAATAGGAAAACAATCTCATTATCGTCAAGGCGTCTTTTCTTTTCAATTCGTACTCTCTCTTCTCAAGACTATCGACGAAGGACAACAGACCAGATGCTAGTTCCAATTTAAAATTAATACTGTAAGGCCGCTCTTCCCTCCTCCTCAATAAACCATTCAGACAAAGGACAAGGTCTGATGCAGAGGGAAAAACAAATCTAGATAGATCTGCACCATGATTCAAGAGTACATCGAACACAATTGGCCTCAGATTCTGCACAGCCGATTGCAGTGGTGAGCTCATGAGCAATCCGTTCCAAGCGTCGGTGATCTGCAAGTGACGGTTCAGTTCGTCATTGACCTGGAAGAAGAGTTTCACCAAGTCTTCAGTTCCCTCTTCGAGGCAAAAACTCACAGGTGTCAATCCGAAATCATCGGTCCAATGTGGATCCGCCCCTCTTCTCAGCAGCAGTTCGACCATCGTCTTGTGTCCAAATGACACAGCATGACACAATGGTGTAGAGTCCGTTCGGTCCCGAGCATCAACCTGTACCGATTGATGAATTTCGTCGATGATTTCGAAGAACATCTTCGCCAAATCATCGCTGCATTTTGTCTGGCAAATGATATGCAGAGGTGTCAATCCGTCTACGTCAGATATATTCGGATTGGCCCCTCTTCTCAGCAGAAATTCGACCAATTTGACCGAGTTACGAGACACAGCTATGTGCAGTGGTGTCAGACCCCACTTGTCCTCCCGAGCGTCAATGCGCACCGTTCGACGGTTAACGTCGTTGATCAAGAAGAACTTTTTTATGAAGTCATCGTTGTCGTTGAGTACCTGACAAGCGACATGCAGAGGAGTAGATTTATTAAAGTTGACCAAATGTGGATCCGCGCATTTTCTCAGCAGCGTTTCAGCCACGCGTACATGGCCGTACTTCAGAGCCAAAATCAGCGGCGAATTACCTTTGACGTTATCGAGACAATTGGGGTCTTGTCCGTGTTCGAGGAATTTTTCGACGAGGTCGTCAAAGCCATACCTGCAGGCCACATGGAAGTGAGTGAAGCCTGACTTGTCGATGTAATTTACAAAAAATCTATCGTAAATTGTAAAAAGCTCACGAGCCACGTCACGTCCTCGATCGTCCAATAATTCGGCCACGTGATGTAGAGGTGTGCTGCGACGCTGCGATAGCTTGCCGACTATATTAATGTCGGATCCCATATCTTTGTAGCCGCTGCGAGCCACGAACTCAATAAATCGTTGTCCTCGATTATCATGCGGGTTTTCGTACATACAATTTATAGATTCCTTGAGAAGAAATTCAATTTTTTGCTTGGGAAAAATGTCCCGCAGATCCGGAAGTGGTCCCCTCCAATCGCTGATTAAGGGATAAAGTTGATCGAGATGACGATGTCGTCCTTTTTTGAACCAATTGGTCCAACCGGTCTTTACTCGTACTTTTTTCAAATTTTGTAATTGTTTTTGGTTAAAATCATCCACGTGTTTTAACCTACAGTCGTCGCTTTCACTGACGAAACTTTCACTACTTTTATTAGGTACGTTATTGGATGTAGACATCATTCTGGTCACTTATACACAGCACACAATCACTTTTTGTTTATGTATATGAATAAATATTTATTATAAATTGAGATTTACTTCTCAAAAATCACTAACAGTCGTCAATGCGATCTACGTCTATTTAAGCTGCAACTTCTAAACGTGTACTGACTATGCATGCGCTATATGATCTATTGGCCCGGCCGAGCATGTGTTTTTGACAGGAAGTTCTGTTTTTTCCATAAGATTACATGTAAATGGTGACTGCAGCGCCACTTTAGGCTCCGCCCTAACGCTCAGAGTGCATTAGAATCAGAGAGAAAGTAAATAACACGTAGCCAAGCTATCGTAAAGAGATGCTATGTTACAGACAAACATGACTCAGCATTTGAGCTACATTTCGAATTTCATTAAGTGTTCGGGTACATTTTATATGGAATTCTTTAGGGTGGTGAAGTCGGAAACGCTGCAGCTACTTCTGAGTTTGTTTAAACAACTATAATTACCTGCACCAGTTAGATTCTACTGTGTTCGATGGGAAAGTTGCAGAGATTTGCAACCCCTTCAAAACGAGCTTGAGAACGATTGGAAGGCTTTCGCTGAGGAACCCCGGAAAAATCCTCGAAATAATTAATTTCATGAGGAAATTCGCCTTGTGTTGAATTTTTGACCTTAAATATTGCAAAAAGTTTGTTGTTTACCTTTAAAATGCGTGGGTGAAAACTGAATTCTGACAAATAAATAATTTTGGACGTACGTCGTTTCAAAGTTTTTTCACAACTATTGTTTTACAGTCTCTCCTTACTCATTAAATTATTTAATCTTAATTTAGTTAACGAATTTAGAAACGTCTCTATCAACTTTTTGTATAATAATAGAAATTCGATAAACAATCTTTACCCAAAAGAAATCATCGCGCTACAGCAATCTCGAGTGATTATATTTTTAAAGTAAACACATTCATACATACATATAAAAAATAAGAGAAGGTATAAAAGAGCCGTGTGTTAATTTCGTGTGTAGTCGTTTACTCACCAAAGACTTTATTTGGTCGGTTCGAGTCGTTGTCGCGAGTTCAAGGAAGTTCTTTGCGCATCGACGTTTCGTTACACATGTCCGAAGGTGCATATAATTAACAATTGCCATTACCCAAACGGCATACAAATATGTTGGAAAATTCTTGTGTTATATTTATCACATACTAGCTTTTACTCAATGCACTATATACGCCAATAATTTTTAATTTATAATTTTGCTGTAATTATAAACTGTTGATAGAAAAATTTTTGTTATTAATTACAATTGTTACAGGAATAACTTTATTTGATTATGAAGCATAAATATTAATATGAATATTATTTATTTTATCACATTAGCGTGATTTGTAAGTATTACTATTCCGTTTTGTTAACAAAAAGATGAATAGTATACTTTTTTACGCACTGTAGTGAGTATACATCTTTCCTGAATTTTTATTGGTTGTTGGCGTAAATTGATTAGTTTATTGTGGATACGTAGAAAATTTTAAATTTAATCATTTAATATTTACGTTTAAAACTTGAATACATTATCGATATGGACAAATGTATTTTTTCAGTTATATGTGAACTTTCAAAATAATTAAATTTTAAGTATATTTTAGTAAGGTTTAAAGATGTCTTCTATGAATCATTATAAGTATAATTCAATAAACGGCACTAATCATTCCAAACTTTTGGGACAATTTTGAAAAATAACTCAAAGATAAAGTCTCATGTTTACATAGAGATGTTCAGAGTTACGTTTGAGTTTAAGTTGTTGCTTTAAATTAAAGCTACACGGAGAGACCAGCTCCGCAGAGCCCTTTGTCGTGTCCAACGCTATGGCATGGCATGTCTCGCCAGTAACGACTTTGAAAAAGAACCAACACTGCGCAAAGTTTTATTTTCTGCTCGTAGTTAAGGCATTTGATTAAACTTAAATTTTTATTCGCTTACGTAGTTCATTTTTGAAAACTCGGAAAATTAATATCGAATAATTTTGTTCTTATAATTATCATATGTGGAGAGTTAAATTGTACTTATATTTTAAATTTTATCGTAATTATCATATACGTAATTTTGAAAAATTTCGAAAATTGCTTATGTTAATAGATAGTTTCAGTGAATTTTAGGAACTGCTTTTCGATGTCAACTCAAATTCGATAGAGTCTCATATTTATTTTCACACTTATTGCGTTTGTCATCTTAGCTATCATCTTCGTGTACTGTCCTTTGATGTTACAACAAATCGGATTTTCGTCCAAATTTCTCCTCACATTTGTCACATGCGTAATCTTTGCAACCATCGTGAACTGTCTTTTGGTGTAAAAGCAAAGTTTTTTTGTGTCCGAATTTCTTCTCACACTTGTCGCATGCGTAATCTTTACGACCTTCGTGGACTGTCCTTTGGTGAATAAGCAAATCTGATTTTTGTCCAAATTTCTTTTCGCAATTGTCACATGAGTAATCTCTGAGAACTTTGAAGGACAAATTTTTCCGACCATCGTGTACTGTCTTTATGTGCAAGAGCAATCCATGTTTAGTATCAAATCTTTTCGCGCACATTTCGCATAAGTAACTTTTGAGAATATTTTATTATGCTTAAGTAAAGTGGATTTATTTCCAAATATTTTTGTACACTTATTGCATGTGAAATTTTCGCGATCCTTGTGTATTAATTTTTGATGCGTGAGAAAACTCGATTTTTTCTCAAATTTTTTTTCGCACTGGTCGCATGCAAAATCTTTGTGGCCTTTGTGCATTGATATTTGGTGCCTGCTCAAATGGCTTCGGAACTCAAATTTCTGTTCGCACTTGTCGCAAGTGAAATCTTTTAGTTCACTGTGAATCGTGTTTCGATGGGATATCATACTCGATTTCCCATTTCGATTTCGATTTCGACACAAAAAAGAGTAGACTCAAGAACCACATCGATGTACTACACTATGGTGTCACACATAAATGTGATATATGCGGAAAGAAATGTTCAACTAAGGGTAATGTCAAAAAACACATCGATGCGAATCATAATGGTATCACACATGCATGTGATATATGCGGAAAGAAATTCTCAGATAAAAGTAATCTAAAAAAACACATCGATTTGGTGCATAATAAAGTTACTCACACATGTGATATATGCGGTAAGAAATACTCCGTGAAGCGTTATGTCATAACCCACAGTAATGCAAAACATAGCGGTGTCACAAATGAAAAAAATCAAAAGAAAGGACAATTGCAAAGTTCACATTGATATGGTGCCTCAAGGCATCGCTCGCTCTTGTAGAAAAACATTCGGATAAAAGATCATATAATAGATTTGGTGCACCAAAAATTAACGTTATAACTTAAATGGAAGTATAAAATTAAATAGACTATGTTAACATTTTTTTTAAATCAAGAAATTTGTTGAGGAAAATGAAGTATGCAATTAATTATAATAAAGCTAATAAAATGTTACACTCTAAGCTAGTGTTAATTCCATTATCTCAGCCACTTTTCAGCACGCTTTGCGCGTCCTATGTTCTGCAAGTTTTATTTTAAGACTTAAGAAATCGTTTCAAAACTGTTCACGTTATTTATCAAATCTATTATCTATCTATCTATTTTTTAAAAAAAGGATCAATTTTTTTTAAGAGAATACAATACGGGGAAGCATAATCATGACATTCTGCGCCATCTCTCGAATTGTTAACGGTCGCAATCTGAACTACAACTGACGCCGCCGCGGTGCGAGTGCAACGAACACCATAACACACAATTCGCACGCAGCAAACACGAAATTCGCACGCGAACGAGTATACCTTTTAGTCTTCTGGTAGTACTGCTGGCGTGCGCGACTCCGTAATTTTTTTCTCTCCGTGTATACATCAGTATCGTTGACCGAAATTCGAGAGTACACAAACACTTGATTACGAAGCGACAGCAACGACGCGGTAAATCTCTCTCAACGGCTGCTCGCTATCTTTTTGTTATTGGCGTTCCGATCGAGAAATCATCGTGACAGTTTCGACAATTGAAGTGTAGTCAGTAGCAGCAGTAGCAGTCATTATTAAATCCCGACCAGCGGTGCTAGCACGGGAGCCGAGGTTAAGAGTGATGAGCGAACCGCTGCCGCACATAATCGAGAGCATGGACGATTTCGGTGGCAAGCCCAAGGACCATCTCATCACCATACTCGACCGCATGGAGATGCACGTCGAGCAGCTGCGCAAGGATGCCATGAGGATAGAGGAGGAAAAGGACAGTCTGCTGACGACCCTCGACACCCTGCTCAATCACGATCTCTTCGTCGGCCTCGAAGACAGTGAGTTGACTTTATTTGTTTTTATTTTTTTCTCTGTTTTTTGTTGTTGTTGTGCTGCTACTTCCATTCTTCTCTCATTAGAAGGTAAATATCTCGCGTACCAATTGAAAAACAGAGGGCAACTGCTGTGACGTTATTAGATGAGCTTTGAACTTTTCGATGCTAATGTAACGTTTGACTTGCATTTTTACGCATTTTCCAAATGATTTACGTGCTGTGCAGCTTTCTTTCAAAACGTCAATTGTAAATCTGACGTCGCTGTGTACAAAGCTCTTTAAAGGTTAACCAACTGTTTTGCTCCAATCTTAATGTTTACGGTACTCCGGTGTTATTTATTTAACAATTCTCAATCGAATATCGCTGTGAATTCATTTCATGCTTCATTATTTGAGAATGAATTGTCTTCAATGTGTGCATCCACCGCACTATGCTGTAAACATGCTCTTCAAGAGTAGTTGTTTTTGTTTTACTTTTGCTCTTACATTTGTGTTGTAAAAACTCAACGTATCAATTACGTTTAAAAGGCTACGTAATTACAATCTAGTCGAATCGTTGCCCAATGTAATTTTTGAATAAAAACTTAGCTAATCACAATATATGTCTCTGGCATTTTCGCGAACTTTCGATGCAGTGTATAACCTGTACGCCGAGAAAGGTCTCGAAATGCCAAACTAGCTATGATGTCAATATTGCTCTTGCCATAAAAATTCGAGAGCTTAGGTGCAAATTGCCTTCAATCGTTGTTTAATTTGAGTTTTAAACGAATTTTAAAGAGTATTTACCATGAAATTTCGGGAAACTAAGATTAAAGCATACGTCAAAACATCAACAATACAATTTGTTTATTATCTGACTAATATGTGAACATCGTTTATTTGACGAGTTTCAAAATCTTGATAAAAATAATTTTTTTTATATTATGTGTTAATCACATTCTGTATTCTAGGCCATAAAATTTTTGGCAATTTTATCTTGCAATTGTTAAAACAAAATACTGATTACAAAACAAATAAAAGTTTTCATTGTGTTTATTTATTAAATTTCTGATTCTTGATCTGAAGATAAAATTCATTATAAATCTTTGGAGTCACGCCTATGATCCCTAATTAATTTTTAATTCTTTCAGCTGACAAGGATGATGTTATGAGATATGCCGAAAGACTATCCATGAGATGCTTAACAGTTGATGTTCTTGTTAGAGTTCAACGTGATAACGTACAACAGGATGCTTTGCATCAGGTTTTTATATTTATATTATTATCTAATTTTTTTAACAATTTTGAAGAAGTCATACTAATAATAATGTTTTAATTGTAGGTTAATGGACTTATAGATAGTTTAGTCGTTGGATTGCAGAATGATCCTAGTGGTACCAGATCTCGCTGTGCTTCTTTTATGAATGCATGTTCATCGCATGCTGATGGCCTATCGGATAAAATATTTGAGACTGCTATATTAGGGTGTACATTAGATGATCAAAAGCGAATAAAGAAAAGGTTGCAAGGATTATTAGATTATATTGACAAAAAACACACCATAACTTCAGAATAAGAATAATTTGGAGATTAAGACTTTGATACCATATGCTTAATGAACTATTGAATGTGTATTTAATTAAGCCCATATTTAGCATCAGTGTTGAAAGTTCATTGATGTTTTAAGATGTGATGATGTAAAGTAAGGTGGAACAAAAAATTGTTAGATAATATTGATTAATTTATAATTGTTTTGAAGCACTTGTAATTTGTGAACAATACTCAGTTGAGAGTAAATTGAATAGCAAAATTTTTTATAATATTCTTAATTATGTTTATATCATCATGATAGAAAACAAGTGCTAGTCTGATGGATTAATTCAGTGTTAATAACGTTATCGAAACATTTGTATTAAATACATTCCTGAATTAAAAATGTTGATTTGACTGGAACTATTGGTTAGAAAAGAATTCATCTGTTGAATTATGATTATTTTCAAATATACATTATGATTTGTAGTAAAATAGAGCAATGCAGATTTGAACAGAAGGTAATTTGATCAACTTAACTATTGCTTAATTAGAAAATATGTGAGACATGCTTGTTTTCATTTATACCAATTCACTTTAGATTAGGCAGTTTTTATAAATCAGTCATATTTACACTCTATCTGAGAAACATCAGTTAGAATTTGTTCAAATTTCACTTGATACACGTGACCATCTTATGATTGTAACATTTGGTCACAAATTGAAAAGATCATTCTATTAATTAAATTAATTAATAAGCAGCAATCTTATAAGATTAAAAACAAAATAACGAGACGCATAAAGATTCCCTGAATAACTAAAAATTTAGACAATTAATATTAATTCATTACAACTCTTTGAAAAGAAATGCGATTTACTGCTGCTGGTCAGTTTATTATGTGTCAACTTATTACTAAGTCCAGAGCCTTCGCATTAGCTTATAATGCATTTTATCGTAATAGAGCATAAAGTGCATGGATTTAACTTTGTACTCGAAATTTTATATCGTTGTCGATAAAAAAAGCGTCTTCAATGATGAATAAAGAAAAAAACTTAAACAAAAAGTAATTATCAATTATTGATTTCAAAAATACCAGTACTAAACAATCTTCATGATTTCGATTTTAATAGAACCTCGCCGCAGAGCCTCCTTAATACAGATCATAAGACAGTCAAAGTTCTGCATATGTATACCATGGCCAGTATAAATTATGGCAGTGCAGATAATCTCGATGGCCTAAATTCCAAGTGGTTGTATAGCAGCGAGGGTTGCAGTGTGTTGGTGGCGGGAACGGCAACGGAGCTCTGAAATTCGACCGTATAAAGGCTCTCTCGCATGCGTACATACATATACGTATAAGACTGATTTTGATAATAAGAGGGCTGCCTCATTTCTCCCCGGCTTACGAATCGCGTGACCACTTTTCGAAACACCTGTCCACCGACCCTATAAGTCTTGCGCGGAGAAACAATGCTGAGCATACATATATGCATGCATGCACATACGCGTCGGCTACTCGTTTAATGCTACGTTTTATAGGCCAATGATGAATGCAATTTAGATAACTTTTATTGTTAATTGTCTATGCCATTCGAGCTGAAACGAAAAGAGAATAATTCTACTTTCTGCTACGTTTTAAAACCACAATTCTTCAATTAGAAATATTACTTTTGACTGCGAATCGGAAATTCAAAAATTATTTTTATGAATGCAGTGTTTTTTGATCGACCATACGATTTTTTTTTAATTGAAAATTAGAGAAAACACCACGATTTAAAAAGTTCTCTATCTATTTGCTTTCTATTTACGCTATTTTGATTATCATTAAATATCTTAATATACTTTCAGACGTTAATATCTAAACTTATGGCTCATGTCGGATTCGCCATCTATAGGTAGGCACTGATCCAAAAATAAAACTTACGGTTCAATAAATCCATACAGACTACAGGTACGCTTGACATTCTCGCGGCTCGCCTATACCGATCGTACGCCAACTTATTGAAATCTCCTAAGCACATAGGAAACGTTTTTTTTTAAGTGGTTGCTCATTATACGGAAGCGTAAATAAATACACACGATGACAGCTTTTTTGTTATTCATATTCCTACCAAAATCGTTTATTTTCACTTACACTCGCTTCGTTTGCAATACAATTTTCAGTTGTTTTTTTTTTATGTAATAAAATAAAAAATTTCAAAAAACCGTATACACGAAAATATAGCAACAGTTCACATTCCTTATGTATAGTAAAAAATACGATAATATTTCTGTCCATTGGTTTACGTTTTATGAGAAACTATGTAATATCAGTAACAACGGGTTGCATCGAGTGCTATGCAAAGCGTTTGACTTTAGTTAGATTAAGACTATTAAAAAGTAAGTTTAGCACCTCGATCGGCACACAAGGTTTATCTTTGAAAATTATAACAAACATTTCATCTTGGATTTATAAGTTGAAAAAAACCATTAAATTAATCTCTCGACTTTGATTCAAACTCCTTTTCGTTTCGAGTCGATAAAATTATCTACGCACGTACTTATATACATATTTACAATAATATCTTATTCTCTTCAAAAATAACACTTCCATCGTTCTTCCATTCGAATTTGTCTTTTTTTTTTAGAATAATAAATCTTGATTATTATTGTCCGTATTGTGTTTAATGATCTTTGCGCCCATGGCTATATGCAAGTGCAGCAGCAGCGAGAGATAAAGACTCTCACAACAGTCGACAGGCATTCTTCATGAAATTCTTCTTCTTGTGGTGGCGAATCTTGCCGGTGGCCCTCAAGACGATCGTACCGTTGCTGGGATTGCGATGATTGCCTATCGTGCCGTTTGGACTGAAGGCGCCTGCGAACAAACAAGCGAACGACACAAAAAAGTATGAGAAATCGTCCTAAGATAATTCAAACGACGTCGCGAAGGAGAAATTGTTGGCAAAAATCGATCGGGTTGCTGCTGTCGATACTCGGAAAAAATGCCCATTCACCAGTCGTCGCCGCGAACAATCCTTCCTTTCCTCTATAATACGTGCCGTATAATACGTAGTAGGTAAAGCACAAGAGTACACTTATCGAGCATCGCTTTACTTTTACAATTTCCAAGAGGCATCGCGTGACCGCTTCTCTGACCGTGTGTGCACGTACATACGTATATACACATATATGTAGGAACAAATTCGCGCGAAAAAGGAGCCATAAATATATATTGCTTCATCGATTTATATTCATTCGTTTCGCGGGTCTCGCAAAATGTCAACGCACCAAGTGCGCATGTGTAAGCCTATGTAGCTGTATAGATACTGGCAGCGCATAACGATACATCGTACGTACTTATATATAATAATATGCGAATGCACATCATGGAAAGTCGAAGCGAGCATAAAACGAGGTTGAACGCGAAGTGGTGAAAAAAAGAGGAAAGAAAGAATAAGAAGAAAATTCGCGCATACCAGAGCGAAAAAAGGCTTATAAATCTCATCTGCATAAGAATGATATTAAAAAGCAGGCGGTAATTCGCGGCCGGCTCCGATATAGGATAAGCGGTACACGACGCGTTAGAGCTGCATTGCGATGCACTCGTATATATACTATATATAATATGCACTACATCGATGAAGTAATCGAGATACGACGGCCCGTACAATATCATTTCGAGCAAAACCTGCTGCTCTTCTCTGGCTCTCTCTCTCTCTCTCTCTCTCTCTCTCTCTCTCTGTGAGAGGCGTAATCTATATTTCAGATTTATACACACGCATAATAATAACTATAAGGAAGTGCGGGCATTCGCAGTGTACGTGAGCCAATGACGATTGTGGCGTTGCGGTGTGTGTGTGTGTGCACGCGCGAGAGGTATCTAATCGCAAAATTGTTCAAAAAAATTTATTTTTTTTTGGAGAGGGGTGTCCTTACTTATGACGGAGCCGGATCGCGGCCCGGACGAGTAGATCCTGAAGTCGTCCTCCTCCTCGTAGCGGCGCATCTCGTAGAGGCAGCGCGAGGCCAGGTGGCGAAACACGCCCATCACGCCGACGTCCTCCTTGACCGAGGTGCGCAGCAGCTTGCAGCCCAGAGCTCGGCTCAGTCGTTCCGCTTCGTCACTGCGCCGCAGTAGTCGTCGATCGGCAGGAAAAGAAGAGAGAGACACGTCATTTATCATATTGTCGAAGGGATAAACGTTGATGCGTGCGTTAGACTAGATTACTTACGGATCGATCACGCACTGCTCGATCAGGTCCATCTTGTTCTGGACCAAGACGGTCGGTATTTCGCCGCACTCGTTCTCCACCTGTGCCCCCGAAGAATACATATTATTATAATAACACAGTCGAGTCACTTTTTATGATAATTTACTGTGATCGTTATAGAAAGAGAGAGAGAGAGAGAGAGAGAGAACCTCGTAAAAATCAAAATTAATGTCTCGCTCGCGTATCAACCGTTACAACTCGGCACAGTCTCGTACACGAGCGCGCCGCCGCACTCACGGATAAGAACCAGTATTACACACATACAAGCCACGTTTGCTACTTGCATAAAAAATGTTTACCCGTTGGCTCGAGAGTGCGCTGAGAATCGTTTTTTTTCTTTTTTTAGTTTCGCGAAAACGAGAAGCGAGAAATTGAATTTTCGATATTAATTAAGGTCTTCGGTACAGATGTTGAGCAAATTCAAAGTGGAAAATGAAATTATTTATCATTCGAAGAGGAGGCTGCACGATGACGCCGATATTGAATGAAGTTGTTTTCACGCGTAAATCACGCGCAGTTACGGCGTTGCGTTCACCCAAAAGCTCGTCAATATGCGCAAAGAGCATGATACATCCAAAAGCTAATTTCACGTGCTTTCAAAGCAATGTTCGAGTCGACTACATCGGGCGCGTTATCTTGGACATATGAGAAAGTAATCAGCTCCACCGGGGATTCATTGGAGCTCGCGTTCTTAATGAACGATCTTGTTTGACTGACTAGAAATCGAAGATCGAATCTTTATAACGTACGTCTCTCGATATGGCGTGGCGGCCTCTCCCGTGTGTGGTCGAGTTCGAAAAGTCAACGAAATATCTGCGTTAAAACGACAAGAGAGCTCGTAGCGGAATAATGTGAAAAATGCATCATCGAGGGCATCGCGTTTTCAACGCGCAAGGCTACGCAGCACGCTTACAATATAGTAATAATCCGAGTAGCGAGACAAAGTATACGAGGTACACGAGCGCGCATACCGATCATCGTTTTCACTTTATGAAAGGGGAAAAATAATAAAATCTCGAGTCAACTACTGCAAGTACTCGTGTATATATACTACATTAGACGACGAATCGATCCAAATAAGGAGTCGTCGCGCAGCGCACGAGCTCTCTTGGGTTAGTATATCGCGCACACGAGCTATACCCGCGCGCTGACTTCTATATGAAAATGTATATAATACATAGCTCGAAGCAATGCCGATTGTCGCGGCGCGCAGCTGTTTTATACGTGCGTGTATAGGATGTGCCGCATGTGCACGCACGCAGCTGTGTTTTTTTCTTCCTCTTCTTTTTTTTTTGTATTTTCATCGCTTACACGCGAACCGCATCGTCGTAGGCCGCGGCGCGCGTAAGGTCGATTATAATAGCGTGCGAATTCGCCACTGCGCGTACATAATGCGACGTTTTTTTTGTCGCCTTCGTCGTCGTCGTCGTCGTCGTTTCATTTTACTCTCGCGCGCGCTGCATTTTACTCCGCAGCGGTGATAGACGCACAGTTAGACTCGCAGGCTCTCTTGTAAATGTCCTCTCGCGCAGGCACCACACTACACACAGGTATTGTCGCGCGCGCGCCGCTCCGCGAACTTCAGAACGCCCGGAGTACATTGCTCCCTTTACACTTGCGCATGCGACGCGCCTCGGCTCTTTACACGCGTTCGCGTAAAGTTACGTTTGTAACACGGCCAAGTTCAAGGCGCAGCTTTGACGCGTATTTTTTCCTGTTTTTTTTTTTTTTTTTTTTAAATCATCGTCGCGATCGTTATAAATACATAATGAAGCGGTTTATCGAGCCGTTTGAAAAATTCATCTCTCAATTTTCATATACCCGTATGAGTAAGTGACATTTATATTATATCGAAAAGCTCATCGATACGCATTATGAGCCTGACGACGTTTCTCGATCCTGTCGTTCGAGTGCATAAATTAAAATTCATCCGCGTGCGCGCCAATCGCATTCCACCGCGCGAATTTATACCAGTTTGCTCCGATCGTCAAGTAAAACTTCTACTTTGTCGAGTATGTGTGTGTATATGCGTATACGAAGACTATCTGTAATGTGTAAACACTCGTATAGTCGTCGACGGTTCTCACGTTTAATGTGTATATGTATATTGTATATCAATGGCGGAGAAAATCATTTTGTGCACGAGGTGTGCAACGGTATGAAAAAAAAGAAGTATTCTTTTTTCTCCCTTTTTTTTTCATCGCGTCTCATGCAGACGCGACCGCGCGCGAAGAGATTTTGTGTAAAGATTCAACGCAACGTTGAAAGAACAAGATAAATGCCTCGTTTTGTTTCTTTCTTTTCAAATCTTTGTAAGTAAATCTAATGAAAAAAATAAATAAATAAAAATGATAACGATAGAGAAAGAAAACGAACCTTGATCTTCCACGACGGGATGGCTTCGAAGGAGTCCCGATCCGTGGCGGAGAAAGCCAGGACGCAGGCGTGGGCGCCCCGATAGTAAGCCGCGGTGATGGCGTCGAACTCCTCCTGGCCGGCCGTGTCCCAGAGCATCAATCTCACGTCTTCTCCTTCGACCCTACATGCGAAACGATAATTTTGTATATTGTAATTTGATATTGCGTATGCAGTAAAAAAAAAGTCCGATAAGCTTCCGCACAATTACGAGGGGAAAATATTATTGAACCTGCTTTCGATGATATCTAACATGATCCACTGGTACACTATAAACGTATTGTATTACCGAAGTATCGCTATAAGCGGATGTGCGTCGCATTATAATAAGCACGCGCGATATAGCCGGCCGAGTGAAACGCTGAAAACTACTGATTTTCTTGTCTCTCTCGCAAGCTAAGCTTTATGTGGGACATTGTCGATATGATTAGAGAGTGAAAACGTCTCTTGTATACACGGAAAGCGATGGCTTCTCGAAAGCGTATCGTTCATACGGAAATCGGCGCGATTTACTTATACACCCTTTAGACAGGATCGCGACGACAATACTCGAGGTTCGTCACGCCTCGTACGATATTTGTGCACACGTGTAAGCTTCTCTTCTCCTTTGGGGTCCGCGTCTCATTTTCTTCTTCCTTACCGCGCTTACAAAGAACGCGATAAACATACGATCCCTCGCGCGTACGCGCGAAATTAAGCGCATTCCTTCATCGCCTTGTGCGAGCGCGTGCGGAGCACACATACACGTACGAGGGCTACGCAGATAACAACGGCTTCGCTGCGTATGCAGCACGTATTATAATATGCACGCGTGTGCGTGCGGTGCGCGTGTTAAGCTCACTCGAGAGCCGCGTATAAAATATAAGTAGTGCAAAATAGAATATATTACATTCGCGTACAACGGCGGATGACCCGCGTTGCTACGTATAACAAGTGCATTGACGTATACACGTACACCGCATGAACACCTTACTGTATATACTTGCACAATGCGTAACATGTATACATCTTTATATATCTATATTGTATATATGTAAGTAGAAGCGAAAGAGGAGCAGAAGCAGCTAAAGCAGTAGCAGCTCGAGCTTATTCATACCCCGCGCATGAGATGCTCTGAGATATAGACGGTCTCGCGCCTGCTGCATACCTTGTATATATAGGCCTATATGTACTTGCTACAGAGTTGGGTATACGGGAGTACATAATATATATAGCAAAAGGTGCATCTCCATGTGTCTAGTGCGAAGCCTGCGTACGTATAGGTGTGCAAAAGTGCACATGTATACAGTACACGTCGGCTCTCTCTCTTTCTCGTACGTACGCGCGAATAAAGTATATACGCAAACTTTTTTCCCATAGAGCAACAGCAGCAACACAGCAGCAGTTTACGCAGTATACAATATATGTATATGTACACGCGCTTAGCCGTGGCCATGCACGCGGAGCACAGTGCAGCGCGGAGGAAATGAGCGACTATATGCGCGCCCGCTCGTGTGAGATTGTGCAGTGCATCAGCAACAGCAGCAGCAGCAGCAGCAACGACGAGTTAGCTACATATGCCTCGTCTACCTGCAGCCGCAGTCTACATATATACTTCGTATGCGTTGCAGTGTAGCTACTGCACGTTGGGTTACGCACCAATTCACCGGCTGACTATATAGAGAACGAGCGATGCGTGCGAGGCCCTGAAAGGGTTTTGGGTTCGTTATAGGCCGACGTCGAGCAACGTTACGACTGATTCGTCGTTCGATTGACGGATATTGCTTGTTTTTTGATTTTTTGTCCAAAAACCGATCCGTCATTTTTCTTTCCCACCCCATTGATTCTATCCCATCGATACGATATAATTTCAGGTAAAAGATACGCAATAAAAATTCATAAAACCGAGAGTAACACCCACTATATTGATTCGTACCCACAACTAATTACAAAAATTTACTCGCACACACGTTTACTTGCCCGCGATCGTGTGGACTTTTCCGCCGAGCAGAAAATCACGTTCCGAGAACGAGGGTATGCACACGTATATTTACGCGCGCGCGCGCGCGAATGTGTATACATATATGCATTACACATGTCCGCGAAGCGACAACGCAGAGCTCGAGAGCACTACAAAATTGTCGACTGCTCGCGCGAGACACTGCGCACGAGAGGCGCACGCGAGTCCGGCATTGTGTGCGCGGGCGAACATCGGTGCGAACACCTGCGTCGCGTGTAAGTACATACGTAAATCTGTACAGTAGCTATCCGTGAAAAGCTACTGTAATATTACGATAAGAGCAACAAAAGGGAATTCATTACAATAACAGCTGCGATGATGGACTTCGGAGTGCCATTGGCTCGTGCAGATATATTATACTATAAAAGTTGCGCGATTACGCTCGAATTAATGCGCAGCACAAATCGTCACCACGCGGATAAAGATCACAACCGTCTTTTATATATAGATGCACTCGCAAGCTTAAAGTGAATATTATACGAATCATCGTGATTTTCGCGATACACACGATGATATAGATGCATCTATCTCGCGCAGCAGCGCATTACATTATATACATTTTATACATTCATTAGTTATGCATACACATCCAATTTAACGACGCTGCAAGCGCGTGAAATATACGACTCGACGTGTGCTGTCTGCCGTCCTCGATGGAGAGTAAAATTCCAATCACGATATAGGCATGGGGGTACAAAAAAAAGCTCGCTTTAATTTATCGGTAAATACACTCTGGAGTATGAAGAGTTATGTATGCGAGTTTTAACGAGCTTGCGCTATGGATCACCATCTACCTTATCGCTACTCGACCAGCTTTATACGTGTTGTATATTAGAACGACTGTTGTTCCCGTTTTTTCGCGTCTGTCTCGGCTATACGAAGAAGTTGTCAAGGTAATTCGTATTCGCACGCCGCGGTACAATGAAATCTTGCGGAGCAGCCCCGCGCCACGCTTTAATTGCGTGTTTGCAGTGGAACATGCAAGTTAGCTTGCGTTCACAAACGTAATGGCGAGATCGAGACAATTTCTTCCCTTTTTTTTCGTTAAATTTTTTAAGAAAAAAATAAATGTATAGATTTTGAACCGCGAGGGTGCGACGCACACAGTAGTTAACAATGAGCTGCTGCTGCTGCTGCTGCTGCTGCTGCTGCTGCTGCTGCTGCTACTGCAGCGCGGAAGCTATACATCGTTATATTAACATACGGCGGACACGAAATGCACGATTATGCGCCTCTATATTATCGTGCACTTACGCGCGGGGAGTATACATTTTCGTCGTCGTTACGCACCGAGGAATAATTGGCTTTTAACTCGTATAAGCATCGTATCGTCGTGACTTCTTAATAAATCTCATCTCTTTCCCGCGCGGCTAAGCAGAATTACATCGTATAGGACATTTATTGCGCTCGTATGCGTTGTGCGTGCATTAAACATATTTCACGCGTTTCAGATGTTTATACATTTAAAATACGCAACCCCCGGGTGGTACAAAATTTTTTTTTTTTTTTTTGCTTAGCAAAAACTCATGGTCATTATATCACAATGCGATGCTTCTAATGAAGAGAAAATACTCGCGCGATGTGTCGCTCGGAGAAAAAGAGAGAAACTAAAACGGCCAATTAATCGGTAATTACGTAAAAGCACGCGTTAAGCGAACTCGCTGCACAGCGGCAGTAGTAGTGAGTAATCGAAATGCGATAAGCTCGAGAGGAGACGCGCGCAGTGCTGCATAGAGTACGTTGTAATATATGTATATACTCACTCGATTTCTCTTTCCAGAAAGTCCACGCCAATGGTCTTTTTGTAATCGCGTGTGTAGGTACCCTTGCAGAACCTCTGGATCATGGAGGATTTGCCCACCGCACCATTGCCGACTATCACCACCTGCGGGAAAAATCGATCATCATTCGATGGAGCGCATACACGGCAACTTCATTAATATTATCGTTGTATACATTTTTTTTATTCTTTTTTTATGCGCGCACACGCAAATGCCAAGCATAGCTGATCGTCATAAATCATACGCGTGTCCAGGCGCTGCTCTATATTTTCATTCGATAGAAAGTGTAGAACTGGCGATGCTGAGCCTATAATTCGAGCCATTTTGCCGGGGATTAATTTTTAAACGCTTTTTTTCACCGTTGAAGAGTCCGCACGCTGCTCTTACCTGCGCCACGCTCGCGCGAGCTCACGTAAAGCGCGGCGCGTTAATCGATTAATTTTCTTGCGTGAGTTTTTTAATGCGCGCGAGAAACGTTCCAAAGAATATCCTTGAAAAAAAAAAGTGTATCAACCGTAATGAAATGACACTTATTTTCCTAAACGTCGTCCGCGTATAGAATTTATCGAACTGCATGCGGTCTGTGTATTACATCGACGGGGGCTGCTGCATGGATCGATAAAATTTACCATATAATACAGTCGAGCTAATTTGAAAATGAACGGTTAACGCGCGCGAAACCGGACACAGTGTATATATAAGTACACACCGCGACAAACTTGCACCTACATCGTGCTCGGCGTTTTATTACCTTTTCTATAATAATGTTCATTTTTCTTCTGGGTCGAGAAAACGTGTGCGTTGCGCTTATAACGAGCCAGTTCAAAATACCTCGACTGGCTTGGAGATATGGACACGGCACGACTATTTCTGCGAGCCGCGTGATCTTCAATTAAATTACGAATTCAAAAATCAGCACAAGGTCGTATACTCTTCTCCAAATCGCCTCCTTAAGTTCGTCGACAACTTCATCGTACGCGAATAAAGCCAAAAAAAAAGGATTCGAGTTAAAAACAAACAAAAAAAAAGTCATTAAACGAGGTGCATAAACATAACGGAGTCTCGAGCGAGATGCGCGCCAAGCGTTGCAGCAGTTCCATCGGAACTCCTAAGTAGGCCGCGCTCGATTAGCGCATACGCGTTCCAAAAAAACCGGTTGCGATCTCTTTTACGCGCGCATGTGTGATCATTCGCACTCTTTTCTCGAATCGCCTACGTCTAAAAATTAGAACATTTCCCCCGCAACGGTGTGACGATTGAAAATGGCAAGAGTTTAAACCTTCGGAATCAAAACCCCTACGAAGTAGTAAGTTTATATACGAATATCGCATTTGTCGGATAATAAGCGAGCGCGACTTTTATTAAAGAGCGCATCTTTATACTATGTCTCGGCACAGGAGATTCTTTATAATTAAACGTAAGATAACTGCTGCCGCTGGATGGAATGTCTCGACTACTATACACAACCATAATAATTATAAACGTTCGCCAAGAAGCATATAATGGCTCGTTACAATCGCCGCGATCGATCGCGCGCACGTAAACCACTCTACCCGCGCGATTAACGATTACAAAGCAACGCGCGTGCGATTATCGCGATCGGCTTTTTGACCTCAACGTCGAATATTCCATACGCAGCTGCACGCGTGCCTTTAAAAACGTATAACGAATCGTTGTTTAGAGACGTATCATACATCGAAACGTATACTACATGTGCACACAATCGAAGCGAGCCGCGGCGCGTTGCTTGGCATCCGTCGCGCGGGGTTATTTTTCTGCTCGCGTATTGTGCAAAGTTCGCGCACCGCGCCCGAAACTGCGAGCTCGAATAAATTGATTTTTCATCGCTCCTCGTTCTATACGCCTAAACCTAATATACCATCGGTGAATCGCTTGCCTTATTATACACCGTCTCGTACACGTACAGGTAATATATATATACAATTCGCTTTTAAAGGCACGTCGCGCCGCGTCTGATCGATAGTCGAGCGAGCTTCGCTTGTACAGAAAAATATCGCGTATACCTATGCCATTACCGAACCTTTGCAACTGCCTTACATACGTATATATACACAATGTATTTCGATTAGCACAACCTTGCGCGCGCGCCTATACGTACAATATACCTATATATATATATATATATATATATATCCATCGCTCACATTTTTCATGACACACGCTAATTCGATTTTAATTTCAAGCAGCGGCTGCTGCTGCAACAGGCTCTAATATAATTAATGTCAAACGTGTTGAATGAAAGCGACACTGCGTGCCGACGATCGTCGTTTTCGTTTCGCGCGAAAGCTCGAGTATAGCAGTCGCATAATAGACGCGCTCATTGTACGCGTACGACTTTTATTCGCACGGCAGCTATAAGAGAGGCCCATGGCGCGAATCGCGGTCTTATCTCGCTGCCTCGATCATAATGTGACGAAAATCGCGACGAGCCTTGTACGGGGCCGGCGCAGCTTGTGCCGCGCATCAACTTTCGCGTGTTTCCCATGTTACATAGAAAGCCAAAGCCAAGGCAAGAGTGGAGGGGAAAAAAAACGGAAGAATAAGAAGAAGAAGAAGCAGCAGTGCATACAGCAACGCAGCAACGAGTGGCAGACAGGCACTGCGGCACGGAGAGTCTCCGAGGCGCAAAAAGCTCGATTGTTTTTGGGACCCAGCGCGCGTCTCGTCTTTCACCGCTCAGTCTCGCACTTTTTTTCTTCTATCTCTCCTCCTTTGTACGAAAATGCGATTCAATTCTAATTGCGCCACGAGGTGCGGTGCTGCTGGCGGATCGTCGCGATTCTTGCCGCGGAGCGAGGCTAATTACGTATACACAAGGCGCGCACAGCTTATATACATATAGCGCCGAGCGAGAAGCAAGAGAAGATGTACCGGTTCAGATTATCGAAAACGACTCTGTTTGTGTATGTATGTGTATGTGTGTATGTGCAGTAAGCTAAGTTTAATTATGCGCGCACCCAAGGAGGCTTATATTCGCTGCCGCCGCCGCCTCGCGCTCTTAATCGTGTGAAAGAGATGACTCCGTCTTACATTGTGAGTTCGATGCAGAAGAAGAAAAGGAAAATATGATTTTAACTGCACATACACACTCGTAAACATATTTGCCATTCATATGAGAATTATAATAATGAAAAGGTTCGCGCATTGAAATGTGCGGCACGACGGGGATCGACAAAGTTACCACAACGACTACGAGGGTCAATCGACGCTTCTTCTTTTTGTCTTTTGCACGGCAAGATCGTCGAGCGAATTCATACATGACACATTCTTTTTTACGTTGCTACCATTTTTCCTGATTGGCGTAGCCTCAGAAAAGCATTCACTTTCGGATCACCAATATGGAAAAGAAGTTTCACTTCGAAATAATAAACAACAGCTCAACCCGGCTTCCACGTGGATGTTCTGCGTAAAATGAGCCCTAATGAAACGATGCGGTGCGTCTGACGCAAAAATTGCGCCTACGTATAATACGTATTTACTTCAGTAGAGCCGCACGCGCGGAAGCCTAAAAGCCGAAGGAAGCTAAATAGCATTTGCACACGGAATGCTGTTGTATGTATTATATCGTGCGAGCGGCATACATACACACATACACAAGCGCTAAGAATATATTATCGACACGATGACTCGTCGAAGGTGTGCTGATGTTACTGCTGCTGCTACTCAGCACAACTACGTTAAATAAAGTCCCTCGAGTGTGTGGGTGCTTGTGTGAGACGAGCGCGTCTCTAATTTCTAATTGTCACGAACGTTCGAAGCTATCCTATATACATAGCTTCAAGCGTGTGTCGTGCGAGCGCGCAAAATCGCGACGCGACTCTCATAAATATATTATAGGCAACTTTTATCGTTCTCCTTTGGATTAACCAATTCACTTTGACAAGGTATATCGACGCCTGGCGCACGAAATGTACCCCGCCTGCGTATGATTATCCTTTTTGAAATTTCATCGCGTTAAATTGAGCTCTAGGATATGCGCAATTATCCTGAAAATGAAAATTTAACGATTTCAACTTTGTCGCGCAACTGCGGGTACGCATATTGCACGAAGCTTTATACATCGGTTTAAAGCTTTTTTTAATATGTACATTGTATATCCGTACGAATTAAAGTACTTATAAATCGCGATACTTGACCTGATCTTGTTTCGTGGAAAATATCGAGGTTTCGTACGTACTTATATAGCCTCGGCGATTTACACACCACATTTATAATCCAAGCCGAGTCGTCGAAAGTATTCCGCACTCGATTCGGGGATAAACCCTTAACGACTCCTCCAAATTTCGACTGGTATATTTATATTGTATAAGATGTATCATGGCAGGCCACGTGTACAGTAGCAATGATATCCCCGCAGCGACGATTAAGATAATTGCGCGCCGGAGCTCGCGCGCGCGCGCACACACACATGCACATGCTGGTGCACTGACCCCGATGCGCCTACCTACATATAAGCTATTTATCTTTCTCTACTCGGCGAATCGCCTCGTTCGCAACGCGAGCGTGTCATTATTCTTCAGCACTCGAATTTGTTGGATTTCGTTTGCGTATTCTGTGTCTTGGCGATTTGTCACCGATTTCGAGCTACTTTTAAACAGCTTCGTAAAGTACGAGTTGTTGGTAGCTAAACCAAGTATTACTACTAGAGGATGTATTTGGACATTTGGCTCTGATTTATTTTCTGGTTAACGAGCAACGAAATCTCAATTGAAAAGTCATCTTTTTCGCAGTCAATTTCTCCAGTTGATGCAACCTTCACGATAAGAAATTTTCCGAACGCGACGCTCGCGACGCGTATTACATACACCACACCTGGTGCAGCGGAGGAGAAAGAGCAAGGAGAGATTGTTGATCCGAGATTAACTCGTAGCGGATTTATAGAAGATAAAATAATTTAGAGGCTGGCGTTATTGTATATAAATAAAAACAGTCACAGATAGCCAAACAAAACAGTCGCGCGAGCCCGACGAGTTTGACGCGCATCGCATTATTTTATTGTCGCGCGTCTCTCGATAGCGTAGAAAATCATGGCCAAGAACAAGCGGCAGCTGGTCTCGTTGTTTTCGCTCGCTCTTTACCTCGC